TCGACTGCTGCGCTACTGCATAGCAGTTTGTGAAAAACAAAAAAACAAATAATAAAAAACGCTTTGACGTGAGACAACCGTTGAACGTTCGCTTGCTGGGATTCGGGAAAAGCCATGTGTGCCCATGGGGTTTCTTACGTATGCCCCTCCTAATGCCCATATCGTGTGCTCCCCGTCCGTATACTTGGATAGATAAGTTGTTCATGCAGCATCAGCAACAGCAACAACGACAGCACGTGGTTGCAATCGGCAAATTTCTTTCTCTCTTCCTTCACCCACGAGCACAACGTTCCATCCACATTCGACACACACTGAAAGTCAGACTGGGGTTGCTGGTGCTGGTAGCTTCGGCGCTCCTCGAAAAAGTTGAAAAGTGACAGCTTACCTATACCTTACAACTACCCCTGCTTTTCCCTCAACACGACGTCGGAAAGCCTCAAGAGGGTTAGTACATTTTTCAAACTCTGGAGACCCGGAAGCCTGAAGGGGTAAATGAGTGGATGCCCTTTGCTTAACCCCCAGAAACCCGGGGGCTTACCGTTTTGCTGCCGCGGAAACGTCCAGTGTGCCTGGCATAGCCGTGTGTTCCATGGCGAAGCCCGTCGCACTCGCAGAAGAGGGCCCATCTGCACAACATCCCATCCCTCCCTTCTGCCTCCCCTCTCGTGCTGGAACCCCCCAGGGTTCACCGTTCCAGTGAAGAAAGTCCGCTATGCGTACGGAGTACTGTCAGACTTTACTCACCTCTGTCAAAGCGCGTGCCCTCGTATGGCTCGCCTAGCTGTGAGTCGTCGTTTCGTTGATGGAGGAGAATCCATTCGTCCCCTTGATGCTGTCAATCACTGGCAACCGGCCACTTGAAGAAATAGGAAATACACAATGCAGTCTTGGTCCCTCATCATTCATGCCAGTGCCAGAGCTTGTCTGCTTTCTCCGCTCCCGCTTTGCCGGCAAAATCGGCGGAGATGATGGCAGAGAGCATTGTTGAGAAATTGAGAAAGATCCTATGCATGAACAGAACTGCGCGGGAGGCAAAGAGACGAGCCGAGCAGAAGTCGAGGTTCAGCTGGCTGGCCTGGCCCATGTTCAACACAAACAAACTGGTATTGGAAAGCTGCAAGAAGTCTGTTCGTTGCCCCAGGCCCCGGCCATATCACGTCGGACCATGAGCAAGGGTTTTCACCACGCAGCCGCGCTGCGCAATAGAGTGGGAATGTCAATGGGCTTTCGGTCAGGTACTCCGTCCTCCTGTGATCCACTAATGCACCTTCATTGGAAAATTTCGCAACGGTATTGCGCCAGAACAGCTCATTGTTTGGTCTCGCGTATTGAGATGAATAGGATCAGGTGATTGACTTGAGCCGTGAGAGCAAAGGCTCTCTTGAGAGTGAACAGCAACAGCCGCGTCTTGAGGCGGTTGAGGGTGTTAACAGTGCGGCTCTGGCGTGAAGACTAAGGAATCTCTCAGGAATCCATCCAGGAATTGAAGATTCGGTGTCAGGTCTCGGTCCTGAAGTCGTACTCCGTATGCTGCTGGTCGTTACGCCAAGTTTAGCTTCGCCTCATCCTGGCTGACAGGGTCGTTCTGTAGTAAGTCTCCTGTCGGGGAGGGGCTCGCGACCAGGAGGTTCGCAGCAAACATACATGAGCCATACCAAGTATTCTGCGATGATGCGCGTAGCCATGGCAAAGGACTGGCACGGTGCGCAAAATAGTTCAACCCAGGAGAGCGACACACTGCCATGGTGCTGATGAATTGGTAAAATGCTGCGACCCAAGTGCGTGGGAGCTAGCCAGATGTTGGCCACAAGTGATGTATGTTCAGTGCCACCCTGCATGGCTCCTGTGCGTCTCGTCGCCCGCATGTAGACGCGGGTCGACTGTCAGATGTAAGTGAACTTGTGTGTGTGAGTGTGTGTGCGCGCGCCAGAAACCGAGAGGGAGACGAAGTGCGTGTGTGTGGAAAGAGTGTGTGTGGTGCCGCCTTATGCAAAACATATATAAACGTATGCATCCTGTTCCTTCAGGACGATGGAGCCGACGATCAACAGGAGAGAAAAACTTTGTCGGCAGCAGATAGCTCTTTGGCAACCGGACCTGCTCAGCCTCAAGAGACCCCCGTGTCGCGTTGCAATCCAGAACCCACCGTCAGTTCCTCGTCATTCGTTACATTGCGCACTCCCGTCGTCGAAACTTGGCAGCCCCAGTTTCTTCGTCACAGCATTCTCGACGGGCCGAGCCGTCAAACACTATTCGAACGGCTGAACCACGCCAGACAAGACCGTCTCAACTTGAGGCAGGGTTTTGCGAAGAGAAAGAAAGGCCCAGCAAACTCAAATCGTGAACCGAATCATGATTGATACGCCAACGACGCCTGTTCGGTCCCATGTCAAGCCGCAAGCAAATGATATGGCAGACAAGGTCTGCGCCCACAACAAGTCTGGTATCTGCGGTTGCAATAACATAGTACCGTGGAACAAAACCCTATGCGACAGCTGCGAGCAAGGCAATTGCTCGGGCTGAAAGCTAGAGGAGCAGCTATACCGGACTCGTGTGATTGAACAATGGCTTGTCACCGTCCAAGTTCAACTCGAGACGCCCTATAAGGGCAACACGCCACAATTTGAGTCGCATGTGTGGCGTATGGAGCTGGAATTTCGACCGCATTGCTATCGCAGCAAGAGGGTTTGGTTTCAAGTTGATTTGGCGCAACCATAATGCGACATATTCCCGGATATGGGCAGCTGCGGCTATTTCGTGGGTGAGAATACGGCCACGAGCGTGATCTACTGTGGCAGGAGTCGGCTGGATAGGTTTGGGGAGTTCTTTGCCTTTGGGGGGTGGATTTTGTGTCTCGCATTCGGCGCGGTGCGAGTAGCTGAAAAAAGAAGGGAAGGGGAATCTCGAGTTCTGCGCAACCATTACACCGCATACATTAATATATTGGCTTACAAGTACTGTCATCCTTCAATCATCACATCGAGTGGATAGATTGCCATCAAGGGGAGCAGTTGGTTGACTTTTTCTGCACGAGGAGAATCGATATGATCTCTGCAGGGATGCATGCCGCCGGGATCGTGCCGCCGTTGATACTCGATTGGCACACAACCGTCGGGAACCGAAGGAGGTCGGAAACGCTGGTGAGCTTGATGTCTACCATGTAGGACAACGATGATCGACGGACCCAATTATTCGTGCACCACCGGAGATCAACGTGGAAGTGAGGAAATGCTTGGAGTACAAGGTAAGAGGAGTTGGGAAGAGAAGAGCTGGAATTAGTGGAAATCTGGACAAAGATGATGAGGAGTCGTCGAGAGTCTTTGTTGGCGGACAGACCATAGTCGACCTAGAAAGCGGCCCGTTCCTTTAGTAAGGCAACCACAACCACGTGGGCGAATCAGCGCGACGAGACTGCCACGCCTTGCCGTACCGTTGAGATGGTCCAATCTGCCTTACCTACCTGACTGACGGAGTACCAAGGCTGGCGTCTGGAGGCTTGCCATTGGCCCACCTTACTATTAGAAAGGACCAACGGCCGGCAGTGCCTGACCTGGCTTCATCTTGGAGACTTAGACAATGGTACTGTCTTAGCCACCCATTTCAGATGCTTCCTTCTGCTGCAAGCCAAACCTCCTCAAAGTCTAGAGCATTCGATAACTCACTCTATCAAGTATGACCCCTGCAAGCGCAAGTTACGAACCACTTGCTTCTGCTCGAGAAGACAGTTCCCGGCTGCCCGGACAGCGTTCAACTTAGGCTGAACATGGCCTAGATATGCCCCAGTAGACGGGAAACAGCTGCGAGGTGGGTTACAAGTAGAGTATGTTGAGACCCTCGAGATGTCGTGCTTGGATACACATACGGTGAGTCAGGCAAATGCCTTTGCAAACAAACACCTCACATTGAAACAGCCTAATGATGCGTCATTTCATCGAAGTCACTGCATTCCAGAGCCCATGAGGGGCAAAATGTGAGGTCATCTCAGGTTCGTCTCATTCAGAAAATAGAGTATGAGTATGTGCATCATGTGTCGGGTATGTCTGCAATCATGTCCCAGTAGGTATAAACTCCTCCAACTCATCCGACAGCCCAAACAAGAAGTCTATGGCCAGAAGTGTAAGGCCACCCGGTAGCCGAGGCTCCAATCCGCTTTCCAAAACACCCAAAGTAGTTGATAAAATAAGAAGTCTCCAATCAGCCTATCCCCAGAGAATAATAGTGACATCAGTCGTGAATCGAATTAATTTGTGAAGTGACTAAGCGTTGCGCATTATGAGTTGCGCGTTGACGGCTAAGTAGGCCGTCTAGTTCAGTGCGAGAGCAGCAAGACCGACAACAGCAGCCATGAGACCGCTGTGGACGAAGAGACTAGAGCCGGCGCTTGCAGGTGCGGAAGGAACAGCGCTGCCTGCAGAGGTGGGGGCAGAGGAGTCGGCAGAGGTCTTGATGGGAAGGACGGTAGACTTGGTCCAAGGAGCCGAGGCGGTCGGGCCAGCAAAGCTGGTGGAGTTGGCAGCCGGGTAGAAGTGAGACGACGACGATGACGACGACGAAGAAGAAGACGACGAGGTGGAGGTGGAAATGGGAGTGGAGGTCGTCGAGTTGATGGTAGGCGCAACAGACGAAGTCGGCGTGTACAAAGGGCAAGCCGTGTTGGTCGGGTTGCACTTGGTGATGGTAACCGTCTTGGTGGTGGTGGCGGTCATGGTCGTGGTAAGCTCATCTGAGGACTGAGCGACGGCGACCGAAGCGGCCAGGAGAGCGAAGATGCTGGTGAAACGCATTTTGATTGATGTTGGTTGGATGAGATATGGATGCTTTGTCAATCGGTATAAGTCTATGTATGAGCAAAGCTGACGAGTTTCCGCCGGGCTGAGTCTTGTGTGTGTGTGCGTGTGCAGGGCGTGTGCCTTTAATGAATGCAATGTCAAGAGAACGACGGAACTGTCTTGTCGATATTGATAAATCTGAATGAAAGTAATGTGCAGCAAAAAGGCACGATGACGAAGAGCAGTTGCAAGAGAGTGTGGGCACTGGACGCAGCGTTAAACGGTGAGGAAACAGAAGCGAGAGTGTAAGGCGTGTGGGAGGGGGCAGGCGAGGTATTTCTCCTTTTCACGACTCGGCCGAACAACCACGACACAGTCCTCAGTCCTGACTCCTCCTACCGCCCCCCAGCGCCCCGTCTCCAGCAGGACTGTGTGGACAACCAGCACAAGCGCCGCTGGGCGTGTGGGCTGGCGGAAATTTTGCGAGCGTTGGGCAACACGGCGTTTCCTGTGCCTGGTATGCCTGTGCCTGTAAGGTCCCGTCCCGATGGCCCCCATCCCTCCCCCCCGTGGTCCCTGTTGGTCGTCGACGCGGCCAAAGAGAAGGGTGTGTGGGTGGCCAGTGGGTGCACGAGCGAGGACATGGGGGGCCAGACTCGTTGCTCTGTGCGCTTTGCTTGGCTTTCCTTTTGCTTTTTTTCTAGTGCTAATAACCGCTACCAAAGCTAGCAAGGCTGCAAGTCGAACAAGCCAAGGGGGCGAAATGGCCATGGGAGCCTTCCTTACCTTGCCTGGGGGAATGCGACGCTGCATTCTCCTGGTCCAACTGTCAGAGTTTGTGAGAGAGCCTGTCCGTACCACAGTATCCGTAGAGAGCAGAGGTTGAGCTTGCTTAAAAGCCGAGGAGATGAGACTTGGGATTCGGGAGCACGACAGTCTGATGCTAGAAGATGGGCTATAGAAGATAAGCACGACAGCTTTTGCTCTTTTCGTGTGTCTCTCTCCGAGAGTGACATCTCAGACGGCTCAATAGTACCCATGCATGGCATCCGTAGAGCCCCGGGATGGCCAGAGGAGCGCAGAGAGACGTGAGATGAGGCCAGTGGGTGTTGTCCGATGTCCCAGGGCCAGGCCTTGGGTCGACAAACCAGAAGCGGCTGGTCAGTCCGGGCAACGGCACCAAGGCCCATGGAAGGGATCGTGTCCAAAATTGGGTCCGCAGGACGCAGGATCCCGTCGTCGGTGGTGGACCGGGTGATTGGCTACACAGACATGGCGGTGGGCCGGCACTGCACGGCGCAAGCTTGCGCTTCGCGGCTTCGCTGACGGGACCTTGCTCTAGATTTTCTTGGTCCTCTCAGCCTGCAGCTCCCACTGGTTCATGCCTGCAGAGCCCTGGCGGATCGCCTCCAGAACCCCTGCTAGCAATATGCAGGAACAGCGTATCCTGGTGCACTAGAAAACAACTCGTCCGAACTTGTGAGCAGATGGCAGAGTCAGGACCAGTCAGAGCCGCCACAGAATCTCCAGGTCATCGTTCAACGCCAAGACGAGGTCGATGCTGCGTTGCCGTTGCTTGGTTGCCATGTTTCTTTTCTTTTCGCTGGCTTGCTACACGGGGTGACGGGGGCGAGGCAGCAGACTTTGGGTGTTGGATCCCTCTCCGTCGGAACGTGGGCGACGTGGGAAATGCGCGTGCCAATCATTGCCTACCGAGACCAAGGATTTTCATCGTCATCACGTCTTTTCCATTCCCCCACCCCGTAGATGATCCTGACTTTGGTGTCAGGACTTAGAGCTGTTGGTTGACGCCGTAGAAGTCGCTTGGGGCCGCCACTGTCCTCGGGAATCAAGCCATTGCTCTGCGCTCCCGCCATGGCGCCGACGCCGTTTGTTATCGGCTGACCGAGGGAATCTGGTCAGAGGAGTCGACGAAAGATCTAGCTCGTCTTGAGCCGCTCGACCGGTTTATTTCGGGATCGTGCGACTGCAGGGAGAAGCACAGCATTTGCGCAGGCGCTGGCGTGGTTTTCAGCGGTTGACAACAGGCACACAACTAAATGTGTCTACGTCTGCAATGACGATGTGCATCGTCCCGCTGTTATCGTTCGGCCGATTGAGATTCAGGTCTCTGTCTCTCTTCTTTGCTCGGTCATTGCGCGGTTCCACGGTGTGACCCCAGGCCTGGGGTCCTAGGAGAGAAACATCGGTCAGGTCGACCCTCGCGCAGCCAATCCGGCGACGTCGTCTTGAGTGACCATAAGCTGTTTCCAGAGTGCTTCCCTGTCGGAGCACTTGCGAATCGGCGCGAGAAATGATCTCAATCATGGGGAGGCTCCACCGCCATTTCCCGTTCAGAGGGGAAAATTATGGGTGTACAGCGCTGTGGAGGTACCAGCATTTTGGAAGCAAGGGCCCCAGGAGTTCCTTATCCAGCTGGCTCAAGTGGCTTAAGAAGCGTACTCCGTAGATGTCATGGATGTCTTCTCTTTTTCGCGAGATGAGGCCAAGGTGCCAACAAGTGGGCACTGAACAGTGATGGACTTTATGAGTGTCTGTGAAGAAGAAGAAGAAGAAGAAGAAGAAGAAGAAGAAGAAGATGATGATGATGAGGTATCCGTAGAATGCCCCTCCGAACACGGAGTTCTGACAGCGATCGTCGGCGCGACGGAGTACCGTCACAACAGCCTGGTCCAGAGTTGAGGATGTTTTGTGGCCCAGTGGAGCTGGCTTGTGGTAAAACATATCGCAACTTTGATTCCAGAGCGCCAGGTGTCCAATACCGCTTTTCGAAGCTGAAATAGGATTTTGAAACGATTGCTTGTCACTTCCAGACCTTGTCGTCACATCGTGCGATTGTGTATTCCACCTCCACGCTGATTGCAACAACGGCAATGGCCTCTCGTGAAGTGTTTGATTGAGGAGTCGGCTCACTGCAAGGAAGCCCTTGCTGCGGCTGTTTGGGCGCCCTGTTGGGGCTGTTTGCAATGAATTGTGAATGAGTGTGACGTTGAGTTTGCTATTGTGTCTGTTCAATCGCCGGCAAATCCGCCGACTTGTGACTTTGTGGTCATGTTCAATTTGATGTAATGGTAGTCTTCAGCGCTCGTAGCTGTTCAGGATCGCGCTGTTTTCCATTTTTTCAGAGCTTGCTAATGGCTGCAAATCAGGTGGTGCCAGTACTAGAAGACTTATAAGCTTGTTCTTGACCTGCGGTCATCAATAGGAATTCCCAAATGTATGACAAGAGCGACATCGACAGCTAAAAATGTGACTTTTTTGTTTCCCCCGTTAAAACCCATAAGTTTTCTTGGGGCTTGCGGTAAGAAGTATGGTTGACCTGCTTGATATCCCCTCTTCCATGTAGAAAAAGATGAAGACAGGGTAGTAAAATTGCATTATAGTCGTGCTGGAGGCGTATTGCGGCGGTGATCCGATGCTGCATTACCAAGAGATGTCAGGCCGGGCGAAGGTGCGTCCGGGACATTTGTGGATGAAGTTCTTCGAAATCTGTGAGACGGCGACACTGGAGTCTTGGACATGAAAATGCGAGAGCATAGGTAGGAAGGAGCCAAGTTGGTGGTGGGCGGCGCTTATCGCGTGACGCTTTCCACTTTTGAACACCTCATCTTGCAGCCTTGCTCTGCCAGCTCATTTAGGAAGCCACCTCACTCCTGCCACTTTCCAAATCCTCGAACCATCGGGCGTAACTGCGTTGTCTAGCGCCCAGTCAGGCAAGGCCGCAAGAGGTAAGGGTAATGAGAGCCTGAATACCTTCCTCTCATCTTTGAAGTGATCAGGTAGAGTTGAAAGGCAACCTTGAATCAGCTCCTTAGGTACGGAGTAGCACCTTCTATACGATTACATTACCCCGCCCCCGCATGCCTTAGGTAAGGAATGTCTTCGAGCCACACGCGTAGCACCGACAGTCTCCAGCCACGACCCTTCGAGTTTCATCTGCGTGGAACCCCTACCGTAGCCGCTGAACCGCTACCGGCGTATCATGCAGCACCGCATCGTCTCACTGGAACGCAGCTACGGATACATGTCATCGAGAACCCCAAAGAACAATCAGTCACAAGGTACGTAATGCAAGGCTCCCCACCATGCATATTCCCTCTTCTATTGTGTCGTAATTCTCCCCATCTGCATCTCGATATCTCCTAAGCTCATACTGATCGAGTCTTACCTCTTTAGCTTCCCAGTAGCTGTCCCTTTTCTCCCCTCTCCTCCTCAGCCTTAGGAGCTCTTCCCTGCATCCCATCGAATCGACCCGCCTCGAATCATACCGAATCCAGCATCATGGCGCAGCTAACTGCAACCACCTTCTCTACCGATCCGGCCCTATGGATCTTTACTTCCTTGACCGCTGGAAATATGCACATCGTGACCGCCACATCCCGTCTCGAGACCATCCTGCGCGCCAACCGCGTCCCCTTCAAAGCCATCGATCTCTCTACCGATGACAAGGCCCGCATGCTTTGGGGCCGCCGTGCCGGCAAAGATGCTTCGGGCCGGCCCAGGAAGCTTCCAGCTCTCATACAAGAAGGCCTTGTGCTCGGCGTAAGATTATATACCCCTTCCCTTAGTCAGGCTTGCCAGGGAGATACTATCTTCTGACACTCCTCAATTCAACCAGGATATCGTCGAGATCGAAGAATGGAACGAATATGGCGAGCTCAAGCAGCACGTCAAGATCTACTACGACGAGTTCACCATCCCCGATATCAACAATAAACCCAAGGAAATCGTCAAAAAGAAAATCATCAAAAAGGTACCAAAGGGCACGTTGGCAGCGAAAGCCGCTGCAGCTGCCTCTGCATCTGAGTCTTCCTCATCCGCTCCTGGGCCACCACCTGCGCCTCCCTTGCCAACGGACGCGGCATCAAGCGCTGCAGCACCTGTCAAAGAGAAGCCTGTCAGTACACCAAAGTCGCCCGTCGAGAGCGCCTCGACCGCGTCACACCAGTCCATCGCCGACGAGGCAGCCAAGAGGGCTAAGGAAATCCGGCTGAAATCGCTGCGCGAAAAGGTACAGGCAGCCGCAGACAAAAGGGCCGAGGGCGAAGCTGCAGCTGCCACTGCGTCGACTCCGACCTCCGCGGAGCCTGAGAAGAATGCCGCCATCGAAGCCGCTGCCGAACCTACGACTGCGACCCTGGAAACGCCCCGAAAACCCTCCGTAGCAAGCACTAGCAGTGGTTCGTCAGCCCAGAGCGCCAAGCCACTCGGTCTACAGTCGCCAACTACGGGCTCTTGGAGTGTCGCTGCTACTACGGCAACCAACCCAGACGCTCTACGCGAGACACTTCAGTCGCCGACAACAGCCCGGTGGAAGCCCTCTGATGTCGATAAGCCCGTGACGGTGCATATGGGCGCCGAGGTGGCTTCTGCGTCGCAGGAAGAGATTGCCGCAGTCGAGAAGGCCGAAGCTATCAAGGAGGAGCCCAGCCAGGAGAACTCTGACGAGGAAGAGTCGGAGAAGAAGGAGATTGCTGGAGTTGAGAAGGCGGAGGCCATCAAGGGGGAGCCAAAGACAGAGGAGCCGAAGAAGGAAGAAGAGTCAGAGAAGAAGAGGGTTGCCGAAGTTGAGAAAGCGGAGACGATCAAGGAGGAGCCGGAAAAGGAGGCAACTGAGGACACCACCAAGCCTGACGTTACGGACAAGGCAGCTGTGCCAAAGGAGACTGCGACGACGGAAAAGACTTCGGCCCCTGCCAAAGAAGCCAAAGCAGCGCCGGCTGCGGAAGATGATGACGAAGACGACGGCGATGAAGATGACGAAGATGAAGATGACAGCGAGGACAGCAGCGAGGACAGTGAAGAGGATGAGGACGAAAGTGAAACTGATACGAAGCCGAAGGCCACTGAGGCGAAGAAGGAGGATGCTGGGCCAAAAGCGAAGGAGGCAGAAATAGCTTCCAGGCCTAAGCCGGCAGAGCACAAGGACGATGGGAAACCTGTGGGAGACGCATAGTTGCTGTGAAGGAACCCCTTTAGGATGAGGAGTTGGGACGATGTTTTTTTTTTTTGATCGGAAAACCTGCAGCTTTCATCTCAGACTGTGACGTGTCCGGCTTTTAAACGGTACGCTTTTTGCTACCGGATATGGCCTCGTCGAATCAACCGTGCATGCTTGGTCATGTCCCATTTGACGCGCAACAAGTCAGGTGCTGCTATCGCGTGATGTGGTTATCTGTGTCATCATATCTCCAGATCACTGGTAGTGGTACCATATCCCGCTTTATGAACTCATTTCATTACCATTACTCATGGGTTATACCCTGATGTCCCTATTCCCAAGTTGTATATCCTAATGCGCCAGTGCTGTTTACTCCTTCGCGATGCCCGCTGCCCAAGAGACTATGCGAGATAGTCCTCGGTTATAGCCAAAGCACGTATATCTATAAGTCAAGACTGTATACCAAAAAAAAACCAGATCCAGCACAATACGGCAGGGACCAATACAGCCTCCCGTACAAGTCCGGCCTCTATTCAGTCTCGTCACTGCTGGATTGGCTCTCCTCCACCACCCCGTTAGCGGGCTTTCTCGGCGGCGGCCGTACCCACTGCTCAACCTCCTCGCACGCCACCGGCACCCGACACATGTCCCTGACGTCGCACGTCTTCCATAGTACCTCGCGTACCTCCCTAAACACCTGTTCCGGTGCGTCCATGGCCCAGATGACGTCGAGATGCTCGTACTCGGGTATGACCTTGCTGTGTACCACATTGACGTGCGGCTCGCGCCCGCGCTCGAAGCGTCGGAGGAGCTTCTTGCCGTCCACGAGGTCGTCGTTGCCCGCGACCCAGAGTGCAAAGGGCGGCACTTGCTCGTTGTACCAGGCAGTGGACCCCTTTGGTCTGCGGACGTGGTCGTCCACGGTCCGTTGCGACATGAGGCCGTCCGCGTCGTCGGCTCGGAGCGTGTGGCTGTTGCCGTTGCCATTGTTGGTATCGTGCCCGTTGATATTGTCCTCCTTCTCCTCGGCGCGGACGTCCTCTTTTGTCGAGAGGATGCACTTGTGTCGCGCGAAGCACTCTCTCCCCAGCCACCAGCGCATCGACTCGGCGCTGACATAGACGGGTGCGAACTGGAACATGCGATCCTTGAGCCCGCGGTCCCATCTCGTGTCCGTCCAGTCGAAGAGGAACGAGAACACTTTGTAGCCGAGCCAGCCGTAGACCTTCGGGTGAAGCAGCTGGTGCATCTGCATCATGAAGGGAATAAAGGCGTGGATGCCAAACATCAACCTGAACATTCCTGGCGTGATGATTCTCATGAACTTGAAGTACATCTTGCCAATCAGGGGACCGGCATAGGCGGCTGGCGCGAGCGCGCAGAAGACAGTCAGCTTTTCGCCTAGATCTGGCCGTTGCTCCTTGGCGAGTGCGACCAGCGTCTGGGTGGTGCCCTGCGAGTGGCAGATTAACCCAATCTTTTCGAAGCCAGTCTCGTAGAGTACGCGCGACGTCAGCGCCGGCAGGTCAAAGACGCCCATCTGCCGGATGTTCCAGCACCACATTCTCGGGTCGGTGTACTTGAGCGAGGTGTGCTTAGGCTTGAAGCCGCATCGGTTGTTGCCCAGCCAGACGTCGTAGCCAGACTTGCATAGGTAGAAAGCCAGCGAGTTTTCGTCGTTTGTGCAATACGCGCCGGAACTCTGGAGAAGCCCGTGGATGAGCAGGACGGGAAACTTGCGTTTCTGGCTGGTGTCCTTCAGCTTTTTCTTGGAGGACTGGAAGACGTCGGGGCCTCTGTCGGACCTGTCGTCTTCGCTCATCCTCGTGTATTCCTTGGGGTCGTAAACGTGCCAGAGGTCAATGAGGAAGCCGTCCTCAGTCTGCACCTCGATTTCCTCAACATCTAGGCCAACACGGCGAGCATAGTAGCCCACATCGCAGACGATCGGATCGGGCCCCCCTTCAGTCGGAATAAACTCGTCGGCAGCCTCATTTACTTTGCCTAGCTTATCACTGGTCTTGCTGCGCTTCCATTTTTGATTGTCCTCCTTGCGAATCTTGGCCCTACGTGCCTCCTCTTCGTGGAAGGGCCTCTTCTTGTCGGGATTCTGCAGCGTGAGGCGATACAAAATCCTCTTGCACAGCGGTGGGATGCTGGTGAAAAGCGCACCCAGCACAATGACACCAAGAAATGCCAGACTGAGGAAGAATGCCGAAACGCGGAATACCATGCATTGGAAATTGCGAAATATTGACGGAGGCCCGTACAGAGGTAAAGGCGGAAATAATGGGTTGGTATGTGAGGGAGGTGTTTGGCGGCGAAGAGGCGCTTCACCCGATTTCTGCATGGACTTCCCATTTGCATCGGTCGGTAGAGAGACGATCCTCTCTCGCTTCTCGGATATCAGACCAGCGTTTGCGACCTTGCCATCGGTGTCATTTCCCTTCTCGATCTTGGCCACAGCAGGATCGTCTCGAAGTTCTTCTTTCAAGATGTTCAACTTGTGCGCCTCTTGAAGTGGTACACCCGGTAGTCTCTTGCCGTCCGATGTGACTATAACAGGGTCTTGAGGTGTTACGAAGCGGGCTTCGACAGCAACCTCGGAATCGTTGTTGTTGCTTTCGCTTTTTTGCAGTGACAATTTCTCGGCTTGCTGGGCGAATTCGATGGCAGTCTGTGCGATGCCATTGTCGTGTCTTCGGTCTCGGCCGCGATCCGGGGACTCGGAAAAGTTGCCCATGGCGTTTGGGGGTTACAAGATGGTATGCGACGGTCGCGCAAGAAAAACAATGATCGGCAACGAACGCAAGAATTATACAGTTTCGTTTCTCAAGGGATTCAAGTGCGGAAAGGGGTAGGGCAGTCGCTTTCTTTGCGCGACTAAATGAAGATAAGAGATGAAGTTGACGAGAAAATGATTGAGGTAGAATTCTGCTTGTCAAAAGTGGTTTTCACAGCCACTGATGGCATGAACAGGCATCACGGAGATGGTGTCGAGGGGTTTCCAAGGCAGGGTACGGATAGCAAAAGTGTAGATCCGGGAGGAAGAAGGGTGGGAGGGTAAGGGGGGTGTAAGAGTAAATTGGGGATGTACGGGTAGGGATAATCAAAGCAATGTCCTCGTCTGGTAATTGGCAAGCAACTAAAACGGCACGAACGGGTTGGCGGGTGAATGAAAAGGGAGAGAGGCGAACTAAGGGACATTGGAGACCAACAACGATAAGGGGCAACTTGCAAGTTGCAACCATTACATATGGTCTTAATGATTGCTCTCGATTGTTGACCAGTCGGTCTCACCGCAAGAATCGTGGGGTGATTGACGTCGATGTTGGTCCAGATCGAATTCCATCGTGGTCAATCTCATGCTTCAAAGGTGACATTGACCATGCCTTACCAAGTTACGCCTCACATCCGAAGCACGGGTGACGGAAGCAGAGAACTGGAGTCCACGAGGCCCAGCCGCTGCCATTTGAAACTCTGTTTGGCGCCTCTCTCGGGCCTCCCTTCCCTGTCATTTCCCTTGGCTGCAGCAAAAAGCAACAACAACAGACGAGACTCAGAGTGAGAATCGAGGCGACGACCAGCCGCTGCCGGCTGAGCCTCGAGGTCTCGGAAGCGTCGAGCCACCAGTTGAGCCGAAAACACGGGAAGGAAGTGAGAGAGAATTCGGGCTGAGAGACGGGAGAGAGTGCAACTGCAGTCTGCGGCTTGGACAGGGAGGAGCCCCGCTTGCGTCATTGCTGTGTGTGTTGTTCGGAGCATTTGCTCAAGGCCATGCCATGATTGGGTGACAGTCTCAAGAGGCTGTGAAATTACTCGGACGAAAAAGCATGTGACGATGCTGTCTCGTTCATTTTTCTTCTTGTTTTTTTTTTTCTCTTTGCAAAACAAGCATCATTGATGTGTACGAAAGCTCACGGCATCGATAGCATTGACAACAGCCAGATGAATACGATCTTGAACTCATCAATCCGTACCATGTGTTCTTTGGAAAACGAGCAGACGAGATGAAATGTGAAAATTCGCGGCTCGTCTGCCATTCGCCTTCCATCACTCAAGGTGTCGTTGTAACATTTCGAGTTCCGCGCGCCTGCCATGAACTTTGCTCATGACATCCGATCATGGGTGAATCTTAATCATGCTAAGGATACAAGATACGAGTGCGAGTTCAAAAGCACATCCCAGGGAAACCTGGTCCAAAAAAAAAAAAAAAAAAACACTAGCAATGCCTCCACAACAGGCATTTGACTATACCCGGAACTTGTATCTACGATTGATCGATAAACCACCATTCAGTGAACTGGCAGCGTACAAGTGGAATCATCTCGTCATCAAGGATGATAAAAACATTGCAGCAGGCTCTGCGGTTGCCACCTTACCTTACCTTGCAAACCCTGGTTGTGTTTTTATCAAGGTGACGCTGTGACGCTGTGTGTGTTGTACGGAGTAGTTTGAACTTCGGAGCCTCTTTTGTCTCCATCGACTGGGTCAGGGCGGGCCGCCTGGGTGCCATGCTTCCCCAAAGATGGGCTTTCGTCGTCATCGTATACGGGTAGAGGCCGCAAATCAAGCAATGCACATGCCGCTGCTTACTGAATGGCAGTGTGGGATCCCCCATGCTATTGGCGCCTGCTTGTTCAGTCGCCGGCATTCTACTCCGTATTGTTGGCTGGAATTACTCATGCTACTGGTCACTTGTGAAGGATAAGCTACTCATCTTTCAGCGCCAGCACACAATCCTACTTTTTGAAGATGTTGTTATTTTAACTGGGCTCTCAAGACTTTATCTTTTGCTGATGTGGTAATTGAGAGCTCCTCGTCCATGCAATTCTGAGCCCAGGATTTGAATGCGAGCTAGCTTCTCGCCGTCAGGTCCTGGCAGAAAACAGCTATTAGAGACTACCTATTGTAAATATTGTAGGAGCGCTATCGGACATGAGACCGGAGGTTATTCGGAGCTGACACCCAACCTCAGATGCTTAGTCAGATAGTCTTCCCCACACCCGTTTTTTGACTCGACTTTGAGAGGCCGAGAGTAACTGCCCGTGGTGCCGTGCAGCTGTGCTGCCCTCAGCGGAGACCCCAGGAGGTTGGAGGTGAGCCGGCTGCAGCTGGCGACACGCCAATGCCGAGGCCTAGACTTCCCCAAGCCGAAGCTGGGGATGGACAGGCCCCGACCACAGCCCGGTCCAGGGACCATTGGATAGCTTAACCGTAGCTTGTCAACGCGGAGACCACGACACGGCCTCACAAACCTACTACTGTTGATACCCCAGACATCAATTGACTGTGTATTTACCTGTGGTTTTTTCTCTTTTCTGTACTCCGCGGGCTTTCAGAATCTCTTGTCTCTCCCTCTGTGCGATGTGCAACTGAATTGCGCTACAACCCATCGCCGTGCACAAAACGCCTCTCGAATAGCACGATGACGACCTCGGAACTCGCGCCGCCCTCTCAGCGGAGGAGAAACAGAAGAGCACGACGGCGTCGTCAGGATAAGCCAGCCATATCGGCCAGGCTGATTCTCGATGACCACGACGTCAGGGGAGACGTGGGCATTCTATCCGAGGACCTATTCGCAGACCTCTTCCCCCACCTCCGTGACAGTAAGAATGCGCCCATCGCAAGCGGCCTCGCATGTGCAACTGCTGACTCTACCGACGCGCAGCGCCCTCTCACGAAGACGGTTCCGAAGACATACATCACGTTGCCATCGCCCCCTGGGAACCGAGCCCTACCGCGACCGAAACCGCATGGACTGTAGTACCCGTCGTCAAGTCCTCCGCCCTGAAGCCCTCGACCGTCCAGTTCTCGCCCTCGTCCTTGTCACTGCAGAACTTTGCCACAATACTCCAACAGGTCGCGCCGTCGAAGCTCTCGAGCAACAGCCGCAGCGGTATCGAGATCCAGATACTCGATGTAGTCACGCTCTCGCTGGATACAGTATACGTGAGCCTGGAGAGCGAGTTGACGAGGCGCTTAGAGCAGGGCGAAGGCACCTTTTATCGCGACCACCCGAGCAATGGCAACGGCCAAGGTTCAGCACCCTCAGATGCTCCTGAAAGCCGCCTGATTTCGGCCTTGCGTGGCGCACTGGGGAGCCTGAAGGTCTTACACTCCGGCGACCTCTTCCCTCTGCCACTGCCGCCGCACCCGGTCACCCATATTCCCCCGAACCCGGGCAAAATTATGCTTTGCGAGCCTGTCAGTCAGGGGATTCTGTCCGAGAACACCAAGATTATTCTGATGCGAGGGCGATCGCATACGAAGCGTAGCCAGGTCGCTCCTTCGATTCCCCCGAACCGTAGCCTGAACGGCGTTCCCGAGGATGAGGAAGATGACACGGCCAATGATCAGTTTTACTCGGCTGCCGAAGATCGGTACAGGACCGATGCCGCGAACACGGAGATAGACTCCGTGACCGAGACAGAGGAGTCGGAACTCTCCGGTATCGATCAGGATGACGACCTCTCCGACGATTCCATGGACGACATGATCTCTCTGCAGGCGCCAACGCTGCCTACCACTGCGGCAAGTGGCGTGTCCACAATGCAGCCAGGGACTCCGATGACCCTTGGAAGGGGCCGAAAGACCAATGGAATCGCCACCCCCGCCTCCGTATTTTCCAACTTCACTGCGACTACAGCACGCCCAGACCGGCCCCGAGGTCGACTTTTCAAGGCCCAGGGGCTGATTCGTACTATCCCCGTGGACCTGCTTCATCCCAAACCGGCACCCGAAGACGATGACGAAGCTAGGATCTTTGTAGATATATCTTCGTTGTCCAAGATCGGCTGCTTTTCGGGAGACTGGGTCCGTGTCGAGGCCGCAGAAGAACCCCCTACGAATGGCTTCGGTGCGTTTGGCCTCGGCAGCTTCACATCACTCGAACCTGTCGAGTCTAACTGGCGGCCTGTGAGAGTATACGGTCTTCCAGAGGGCTATACTCAGCGTCCTGTGACGCGCATACCAAGCGCGAAGCACGGCGAACGTAGGCTGTCCTTCTTTGAGTCTCAGCTCCAGAAACCCAGTAGCCCGGCAGCGTATATCTCTCCAGTCTTGTTGGCCAATCTCGATGAGCCCTCGTATCTCAGGCTGGCACCCATCAAACGAGGGACGTACCAAGGAAAGGGGACTCTTCCAAAGTTTACAAGCGCATCGCGCCCTCCCTATGCCCGCGATATTACGATACAGCATGTTCGTTCGCCCGTGACTGCGGAGCGAGCGTATCAGTCGGCAGTTCTCGGTGGTCTCAAGCGTTACTTTGCCCAGAAGATTCGACTTGTACGGACTGGCGATCTTATCGCCGTACCCATTGACACACAGCTGGGTAAAGCTCTCCAAGAGCAGTCCAGTGGAAGCAATGGATCGGAAGTCGACGACGTGATGGCCTTGTCGAAAGAGGGATCATCAAGATACGATCAAGTGGCATGGTTCAAGGTTGGGCACATTCAGTTCGCAAAGTCTGATGCCGACAATGACCAGTCTGAGGAGTTATGGGGAGGGGTCGCGTGCATCGATAGCTCGTCTGTCGCGATGCACGGTTCTGGGTTCGCCACGAATCGCATTCCCGCAACCAAGTCCAACACCTGGCCATACTACTTGGGCGTGAAGAGACTACCTTCAAAGGCGCCGAGTGCTTCATCACTGACGTTTCCCGACCAAGATCAGCGTTATATCTCGCCTCTCCGACGGCGTCTGCGGGAGTTGCTTGCAGCAGCCACCAGCCCCAGAGCTGTTCATCTGAAGATGCCGCCTGTCGCGATTCTAGTGACTGCCACCCACCGCAACATTGGCAAAGCGACTATTGCATCAGATGCATGTTCGGACATTGGCCTGCACACGTACTCGATTGACGCCTATGATGTCCTCAGCGAAGCGGGGACTAGCGGCAGTGACGTAAAAACAGAGGGTCTTCTGCGAACCAGGGCAGAGAGAGCGATGAGCTGCGGACCAGAAACTACAGCCTTGCTAATCCGGCATGTTGAAGCCCTGACGGCTGAGCGTTTGGTTTCAACGATGAAGGAGATTCTTCAGGATACAAGGGTCTTGATTGCAACAACCAGTGACGTTGACAAGGTGCCGGATGGAGTTCGCGGTCTGTTTAGCCACGAGCTTGAAATGGGTGCCCCTGACGAAGCTGAGCGTGAAGGCATACTGAGAGCCATCATCGAAGACCGGGGCATCAATCTGGACCCCGAAGTTGACCTTAATGGTATAGCTCTGAAGACCGCGGCGCTGGTGGCCGGTGACCTTGTAGACGTGGTTGACCGAGCACTCATCGCTCAGCGATTGAGGCTTGAGCAGATATCTTCGAAAACAGAGACCGGTGGCCAGGCGGCGACAGTCCGAGATCTTCAGGTCGCCGGCGGACCAATGGCACGTTGCGTCACCAAGAGCGACTTTGAAGTCGCGGTCGAAGCTGCGCGAAAGAACTTCGCAGGCGCCATCGGCGCGCCCAAGATTCCAAACGTCACGTGGGACGACGTTGGTGGTCTGACCAATGTCAAGGATGCGGTGACGGAAACGATCCAGCTGCCCCTCGAGAGGCCCGAACTCTTCGCCAAGGGCATGAAGAAGAGGTCGGGTATCCTATTCTACGGACCTCCCGGTACCGGAAAGACCCTGTTGGCCAAGGCTATTGCGACGGAGTACAGCTTGAACTTCTTCAGTGTCAAGGGTCCCGAGCTCCTTAACATGTACATTGGTGAGTCCGAAGCCAACGTCAGACGTGTATTCCAACGTGCCAGAGATGCCCGCCCTTGCGTAGTCTTCTTTGATGAGTTGGATTCAGTGGCGCCAAAGCGTGGAAACCAAGGAGACAGCGGTGGTGTTATGGATCGCATCGTTTCACAACTCCTCGCCGAATTGGATGGCATGTCAGGAGGCGATGATACCAGTGGCGGCGTCTTCGTCATTGGTGCCACAAACAGACCCGATCTGCTCGACGCCGCCCTTCTCCGCCCCGGACGCTTCGACAAGATGCTGTATCTCGGCGTATCAGATACTCATGACAAGCAGCGGACGATCCTCGAGGCTCTCACAAGAAAGTAAGGCCCCCCACCCCTTCCTCCACGGAGACACCAATCGTGTGCTTGTGTATGTACTGACGCTTTCCCCCTAGATTCACCCTCCACCCCGCAGTATCTCTACAAGCCGTCGCAGACCGCCTGCCCTTCACCTACACGGGAGCCGACTTTTACGCTCTATGCAGCGACGCGATGCTCAAGGCCGTCACGCGGCAAGCCGCCGCCGTCGACGCAAAGATCCGCGACATCAACGCCGAGAGGCCGCAGGGACCCATCTCGACGGCCTACTTTTTCGATCACCACGCCACGCCCGAAGACATTGCAGTCATGGTCACCGAGGAGGATTTCATGAATGCGCATAACGAGCTTGTGCCGAGTGTCAGCGCGGGCGAGCTGGCGCACTATGAGAGTGTGAGGGCTAGCTTCGAGGGGACGCCGGAGAAGCAGCAGCCACAGCCGCAGCAGCAACGGCCTGCTCCCGCCGCCGCCGCGTCGGCTGGTGGGAATAGGGCTGTTTCTGGGTCCTCTATTATTTCGAGGGCTAGTTCCAAGGGGAAGGGCAAGGCGATTGCGGCCGCGTCGTCCAAGGGGAAAGGGAAAGCCTTGGCGTTGGGCAGCGATGAAGATGATTATGGATCTGAAGGTGATGGCACTATTACGAATGGCAAGGGAAAGGGGAAGGGTAAAGCCATTGCTTCATTTCAGGATGGGACGGCTAGTGATGATGAGGGATTGTACTAGTCTTTTAGGAATGAAAGCCCAACCAAAAGGCCGTCAAGATATCGGCAAAGTATCTCTGGAATATATACTTTTTATATCTGAAAGGGGCACATTGTTTCCACACAGGAGAGTTATTACTGGAATTGAGGTAATGATGTGATATATGTAGAATATGGTGTATTTTGCTGTGGTTTACATTGTCCTGCCGGAACATTTGTACAAGAGCCCCCTTCTTCTCTCAGTAGGCTCACGATCTATCTTCTTCACCTACCCGAGGGCCATCTCGAGGCGGCATACCCTCCCTTTCTGCACCGTACACAGCAAAGAAGCCTCAAACTCAGCTAATCCGCTCCGCCTCCTCCATAAGCTTCTCGACACTAAACCGCTCATCCCCCAACCGGAACCACTCCAACAACTTCCTCCTCTCCTCGGCCCTCTCCTTGCCCTCCGCCTCGCCATAAAAGCGCTGCAGACACAACACAAGCCACTGCGCATGCGCCGTCTTGACCCCGCGGTCCTCGAGGCATTTGCCCTGCATCAGCACGAGCCCCCTCTCGGCCGCGAGGTCGGTGTGGTGCGTAATCGTCGTGTGCGGCTGCGCAAACTCGCCGCGCGCCTTGAACTCGGCCAGCTGCGTGAACATGACGGTCGCGGTGCGCGAGGCGGCGTCAAAGACCCATTGCAAGAAGTGTATCTCGGCGCCCTGGGACTCGTGCGGGACGGGGAGGATGAATTGCGGGTTTTGGCGGGCGAGGGATTCCATCTGGGCGTAGGTTGATGCCGGGATGACGGCGCAGAGGGAGGACGGGTCCGAGGCGTGGCGGAGGCGCCAGATGGCTGTGAGTTCCTTGTCTGGCAGCTCGCGCGCCTTGGGGAGGTCGAGGATTTCGTCGAGGGGTTTGACGCCGTTGCCCGAGGAGGATCCGGGGATCGGGGTGGTGGTGGCCGTTTGTTTCGTCTGCTGCTGCGTCTGGCCTTCCGTCTCGTTCGTCGTAGCCGTCGTCGGTATCGACGCGGGGGCGGGCTCGTCGTTGAGGAGGTTCTCGAGGCCCGGCACGGAGAGGGCGTCCTTCTTCTTCTGCTCCTGGATCTTGTCTGCGTAGGCGGCCTTGAGCTCGTCAATGTTGGAGACGCCCTCCTGCTGGGCCTTTTTCTCGAGCTTGGCGCGGTACTTTTCGACGACGGCGCGGGGTTGTTGGGTCGTGGCGAGGAAGCGGGCGTCGTGGACCTGGGCCCAGCGGCGTTGGTTTGAGGCGCGGAAGGCGCGTTGGGAGGTGGTAACTAGGTGCCGTAGGGCTGGGATGCGGCAGGAGGCCATTGTTGGTGTGTGTATCGTGTGCAGGCGTGCGGGCGTCGCAACTCGATGTGTAGCCCTCGTGGCAGTTCGTATGCGGTCCGTATGCGGAAAGTGACCAATGGCCGTAAATGGTTTGAGTGCGGAGTGATGTTAGGTTAATGATGGTGATGACGGTGGGAGATGGCAATAATTTTTACTGGGGTGGATGTCACTTGAAGATGCAGCGTCTTCAATTGCAGAGCTCTGGTGGGTCCCGGATGGTGGGGCCGGTTTTCGGTGCAGCTGAGATGCCGACGTGGATTAGCTGCGCCGGGCGGGAACTCGTAAAAAAGGTACGGAGCTCCGGGTGATACTCCCGTCTTTTATCAAATGGCCTTGAAAATTGCAGAAAGAAGTGAAGTCTAAGGTCTGCCTCACTCTGATTTGATGTGGTCTCTTGCACACTCATTTCGAGTAAGTTGCCCTCAATAAACCGCTGCTTGGTTATATTACGTTCTCCATTGTATTTCCATCTCCATCTCTATTTCCCATTCCGAATGTCTTCGGTGTTACGAGAGATGGGTCTCGGCTAGTTTCACACTCCAAATCCGCTTTACAAGGACGGCATTCAATCTCCCAGATTCTGTCAAGTCATTCTGGCTCAGCCATGCCCTGAAGTAAACAAACCTCCTTTCACCTCATCAAATCGTCAACGAGCCTCCTGCAGCAGCTCTCCTCACGCCCGAAGAATGAACATGGAGAAAAAGGGTAATGTTGACTCGCCATGGATCGGAAGACGGAAGACAAGATGCCTCGGGAGACTTTACCGAGGCAATCGCGCACTCTAGCATCCAGTCCACGACGTGGCAAATGGTAGGCCAGGCATCTCTGCTTTCTATCATCCTTTGCCGCTTCATGCGATGCCTCGGACCATTACGGGACCTAGCATGATAGAAACACTGTTTACGATACTGGACTTGAGAAAGCTCAACAGAAGCTAGAGCGACGAACAACACGCGATGCTTGCCAATGCCTTTGATCCGGGAGACGTCACACCATCACGCATGGTCATCAGGTTCCATGCTTCCCCAGATTTCACTCCACCTCCGTGCAGAATGGCCTGGCCTCACAAAGGACGCCGGGGGACCAATGTGTTCCTGCATTGTCGAGAATCAAAACAGAAAAGATATAAGGGAAACAAGGATGCCATGAATAGTACTCCGCTCACGAGCTATCTCTCTATTCCACACCATACAAAGACGTCGCTGCCTTCTAAATGGAACAAATAGGCTAATACATCATTACTAGGTCTAATAATCAATGCAAAACCTCAAAAAGCGACTGTGGGCAACGGGATCGTACCTACAACCCAGTCTCACGGGTGAGTGTTCCTTCACAGAGCTGAGGTTGCCGAGGGTGCTAGACTTGCAAATCGACGACTCGGAGGAGCCTTCCCGGACTAGGAGCACCGCTACCCGATTACTTCGGAACGTGCGCGTCTCGAGACCGATCGGACTTGGTCTGGCATCTGCAATGATGGACCAGGGTGGAAACACAGCACCTCGCCTAGTAGAAGCGCGTGCTGCGTCACGGGCTGTCTTCAGTAGATTCGACATCCATCTGCATCGCTCCTGGACAAGGGTTGAGAAGAGTGTGCTCGTCAAAGCCCCGTTCACAGAACAGACAGGCTAAACTCCATCAAAAACCAACAACCATCATCTGAAGGTACCATTCCATCACCCAAACAATAAAGCTGCATAGAACGAGGATGCATGGGACACAGAATGCGGGGGAAAGCGCCGTTACTTACCCCATGTTACTCCCCCCCAATCCGGGGTAGCAGGCCGCTAGGATGGCACATGGCGTCGACTTGTGTGGTGGTGATGATGATGAACGAAATAGGTACTAAGGCACCAACAGGGATTGGTCCAGCCTGACACCTGCTCGTTCCAGACCACCAACGCTGCCATGCATGACGCGCAACGAGCATGGCTCCCGTCAATCCCGTCCATCCGGGGGTGCGTCCATGGTGACGCTTGTCAAAGTACGCGGGAGAGGGGAAACCGGGCCAGGGTGTGGTTTCCGTCTAATACTTAATAGTGTCAAGACGATCGGACAATTCATTCCCTCCCCCCCTCCTCCATCTCATCTCTATTCCGACCTCATGTCACCTCCATCTTCCCACGCTGCAGGCGGGCATTTCAATTGGTGCGGAAGGTACGTTAGGTCTTTCAAGGTTCGTGTTGATGTTTTACAAGAACTATGGACATAAACAACATAAATATGAAAACAAGTCCAGGAGTGGACTACAGGTAGCTTGGTCAGACGCTCGAAAACCAAGTTCGAGGAGAAGGGGGCATCAAGTGGACGCCACTCTCTCGAACAGACTCTTTCCTCCTCTCTATCTCTCGGTACGCCATTCCGCGTGGATATCTCTCTTCTCGTCGCAAAAGGTCTAGATCCCTTGTCTTTTTCCCTTTTCTTTTTCCTCTTTGCTCTATCGTTTTTCTTTCCCCTGAGGGATCGCAGTCAGTCACCCTTCAGGATGAGCGATTGCTTTAATCCTGCCAAGTGGGCTTGAAGGTCCAGCGCTCCTCAGCACCCTGGGCAAAGGGAACACCGAGCTCGAACAGCTTGACGATGACGTTGGAGAAGTCCTTGAAGAAGGCCTCGTTGTCCTTGGCGTACACCTCGACCTGTTTCTTAAAGGTCTTGTCCTGGATCAGGGCGTAGTCGGCGGGAAGCATCATCAGGGACTTGGTGCCCTTGTCCTCGTACTGCGCGGTCAAATCGTTAGCACATCTTTCCTCTTGCATTTCAATTTGCGCCAAGTCGGCCACCACGAACGGAAAAAAGAAAGAAAGCAAGTTGGCTTACCTGAGCGGGACCATCCCACTTCTTCCACTGCCACTTCTCGTTAAGCAGAAGCTTGTAGTAGTCGTTGGTCAAGACGGTAGGGGAGAAAGTCCAGGGACCGTCGAAGCCGGAGCGGTCGACGTGGCAGCGTCCGAGAGCGTGGGCGCCAGAGAGAGCAACAATCTCCTGGTCGTTGAAGCCCATGCGGTAGAAGATGTCACGGAGGTGCTTCTCGCGCTGGGAGGCGTCGGGGAGACGGCCGTCAGGGGTGCAGGCGGCGGCCTCACCGTCATTGCGGCCGGGACGGTAGGGGATGATGGGACCCTGCATCTCCTGGATGGCGGCGACGCCACCGAGGATCCAGAGGTCGGAGTAGGTGATCCAGGGGAACTGCTCTACGCGAAAAGGTTAGCGAGGGTTGGTCCAAATGGCAAGCAGAAGCAGCAGCAGTTGTTCGCGGGCGAAGGGGGTTTCACTCACCCTTGACGGGCTGAAGGAAGTCACGAGCAGCCTTCAAGCCGGCGTTGGCACCGTGGTCAGACTCGGGGGCGAAGCGCATGGTAGCACCGTTGCTGCCGCCAGTGCCAGTCAACTTGTCAAAGGTACCGCTGGCGTGCCACGCAAGACGAACGAGGACGGGGCCGTAGCTGCCATCGTCGTAGTCGTCCTTCTCCTCGAGGCGGTCGGCAATGACCTTGTACACCTTTTCGTAGTCGGCCTTGGTGGGGTTGACGACCTTGGGGACAGAGCCGGCGGAGACGCCGCCCTCCTTGGTGAAGAGGTAGGCGCCGCCGGCGCCGGCGACAGCCAGGCCGGAGAGCCAGATCCAGGTCGAGCTGCCGGATTTGCTGGCGGGCTCGGAGGAGTAGAAGCGGCGGCCCTGCTGGCGGAAGGCCTGGCGGGGGGCAGCGGCGGCGAAGGAGGTTCTCGTGGAGGTTCTCAGGGCCGCGCGGGCGAAATGTCTTGCGGAAGCGGCCATCTGTGCGAGTTGGAATGTTAGACTTGGGGGGTTTCTTTTGGGAGTGTGTGTGTGGTGTGTTTGTTGAGAGACACAAGTGTATCGGGTAATATCGGTATGAGATAAGGCGGCAGGACAGGAGCTCAATGGCAAAGGGGATTGTGTAGAGAGCTCTGGCGGGAGTTTGGATGTGACCCACCTTGGTGGAAGCTTTGGTGATGTGGTTATGAAGTTCCGGGAGGTATCAACAACACAATTGCAGGAACTAGAAGAAGGGAAGGAAGCTTTCGGAAAAGGGGGGGGAAGCGAAGTGGAAGGAGAGACTGGCGGCGCGGCCCTTTGAATATAAATCTCGAATGTTCGTTGCCCTGGGGGCGTTTGAGAAATACACATGTACCCTGCACCGGCACCAGCCTGCCTTTGACACTAGCAGAGGTAGAGTCAGTTTCCACGGTCCATTGCCCATCGGGAAGGGGGGTTCAAGAACCGAGGGAGGGGACCTCTGGCACCCGTGAACTTGTGAAATGAGAAATTGGGAACTTCTGAGTGGTCAGAGGCAGGAGCTCCAGCATTGGACCGGGGTGTTTGCGGGTATCCATCTTTCTATCCAAGGGCTTGCGTCGGGGGTCTGCTTGCAAGGATCGATGGACGTGGACGGACGATGGGACTGCCTCGCCATGTGGATATCCCAAGTTTGTTAGGCGTGCTGTTGCGTGCGTTGTGTTCCCATTTACGTTTGCTAGGCCTTCTTTCGTTGTGGAGCCCGCTTGTGCGGCTGTTTGGTGTCCGTATCTGTTGCATTTCTCTTTTTTCTTCCTCGCTTTTTCTTACGGGCACATGTACGCTACGGGTAAACCGTAAAACGGTGAGAAAGGTGTGCCGTGATGGTTGCTGCGCTAGCAAACCAGAGCCCGATATCGACGTTCGAAACGTACCGGTCCCCGATACCGCCCGCCGTATCTTGAGAAATGACATGGCCTGCTGAGCTAAGGCACGCCGCACGGGATGATATCAGTCTACGCTGACACATGCCACATGGTTTCCAACCCTTTTCCGTCCTTATTCTGCTTCAGTCTGACTGTGGCGTTCAGACTTCTGATACGTAATGGGCTGAACTTCCTAACCGAACATCTCCGAGGGGTACTTTCATAAGCAGGGCGAGAAAAAAAAAAAACCAACTCCAAACACCGTGTATCAATGTCTTCAGTACTTGTCACAACCTCATTGATATATTTCGCTTCCCAAAATAATGATAATATAGCTATTGTTCCCAATTGTTCCTCGGCTAGCAGGCCGAACGTTCTCCGCTGACTGTACCACGCGCGTCTGTCCTTTCATCTTGCAGTATTTGTAATTAATCGCCCGCCGTACCCAGTTTCCCCATCGTTGACTCAGGAGCCCCAGGACGACGACGCATGGTAGGATGGGGCTCGCCGCTCGGGGAGCCGGGAAGGGAAAGAAAACACAGGCACGTTCCCCAGCGGATCTGAGAGTTGCCCGAAAAGCAGCTACACTGTTGAACAGAATCCTATGAACGCCAAAGATGTATTTTTGCAGCCAATTCTCTACGACTCGAGACATGAGCAACGTGCTTAGGGCTCTACAGCAACGCTGACTCGTCAGCCAACTGCTCGCCTCACTCAACATTGCTTCTCGGGATTTGCTTTGGTACAACCAACGACTACCTGACTATACTGCCCAGAAAACCTTCATCCCGGGCTTTCAACACGTGGACTGGACTAGGTTGCAGCGCATCATCATGGCGCACAATACTCGCTCGCTCTCGGTTGTTCGGCGTCTTGCTTACCTTCAAGCATTGAGAGCAAAAGGGACCCCTCAATAACGACCAGAAGCATGCCGTTGTCGCCATTTTCCCACCAGCTACCTCCTCCGGTAACAACAACAACAACCCCACCACCACCCTCCACTTCCCACGGCTTCGGATGCTCCCTCTTCAATCTCACGCCATGATGCGGGTTCGCATCCGAACTAACAATATCCTTCAGAAAGGCATTATCACTCTCTTTCACAAAAAATGATATAAATGAAGAAAAGGTAGAATCCTCAGGGTACACATACCTCAGGACCGGTTAGCCAATCGCTCCTCCAGCGCAAACCATAACCCCTTTGGCCCCCCTTTTTTTCTTCCCTCAACGGCCGGCCCATTACCAAAACACAAACGGTGCTCTCGCATGCCAGAACCGTTTCCTCGGGAAACTTACCTTAGCCTAGCTCCGCCCCTGATAGGGCGGAAAATCTGAACCCTTCTTACTGTGCTAGCCCCTTCATCATGACACTATCTAAAACGGGCAAAAACTTCCTAAGCCAACTCAATTCGTATATCCCTGTCTGTGCTTGGTAATCACCCTCCTTCACTTGCACTAGGCATCATCTATGCCACTATCTTTGGAAAGAGAGATAGAGACTTCTCTGGCCCTCCAACTTGTTTTGTTTGCCCAATGCCGGCGGCATGGGACGGGCTCCAAGACTACCAAATCATACATTGACAATGTCTTTTGAATTCACTGTGAACAGTTTCAATTAACACTTTTGACAACTCCCGTAGAGCCTGAGGTGTGCTTTCCATTGAAACTCTTGAGGCCGGCGACGTTGTCCCCACCTTTCCTTTGGACCTTCGGCGACCATCGGTTTCCATCGGTGCTGACCGTAGCTGGACGCCGGCAAATTGACCATGCCGGTACCTTACCGTGCTACCGGTGCTGCCCCCCGGAATCGTTAGCCTACGTGGATACCGAGGTCCCTCCGTCGCCGGTCAACGGCGCCAAAATCAAGTCACAAGACCAAAGACCCTGAATTTCTTAACAATGTTCATTTGAAGAGCTATTATTTCTGCTGTGATAATGCGTTTCGTGGTGCTCAAGAGCTACAACATCGACCCCGTTGGCGCCTTCAGCAAACCCCACCACCCCAACAGTCATGGTCTATCCGAAAGGGCCGTCGCCGGTCTCTATGTAGACCGCCTTCATAACACTGGATACAATACAATTTCCCCGAGGCCGGCCATCCGCACATCATCTGTCGTCAAATCGACTCATATAGTACAAGAAAATCGAGGAGTAAAAATACCCAAGGGACCGGGAACTCCTGGAGCATTAAAACACACAACACGACGAGTGGTGCCACGTCCGCTTAGTTAAATGGCGCTGTGGCCTGGCCCTCGAGGTCTGGCTCGCCTTGGAGCTCGTAGTATCTGAGATACCTGGCTTCGGCTCGGTATCTTGTTACCTCGTCCAACTCAGCCACGGCAGCCCCGTTCTCTTTTCCGCCAACCTTGTCCTTGGCCAGCAGTGAGATCGAACTTGGCCTATCAGTCATCGTTAGCTTGCGACTCCAAACAAAAGTATACTGGAAGGCTTCACATACCCAAAGATCTCCCGGTCAATGGCAAGAAACTGCTTCATCGCATCCTTGCCGCCCCGCTGCTGCAGGTATGACAGGTAAATCTGATACAACTCCTTCTTTGTCGAAGCTGACAAACGGCTCTTGCTCCGGAGTTCGTCGAAGATCTGCTTGATGCGGTCGCCGTGCTGATCCTCCAGCTCCGTGCTTGTCGCCTGCTGAAGCTCGAACTCGAGCCACTTGTCCCAGAAGACACGGCTGTCGGCGTACCACTGTACGTTCTTGAGGAAGACGTTGCGTGCTTCTTCCACTGAGCCCTTGACCTTCCACAAGAACAAGGCCCACTCGGTGACCAGAGCTGCCTTGGTAAAGATATCCACATGAGGCGAGTCGATCTGCGCCTTGAAAACCTCGACAGCAGCGTCCAGACCGCTCTGGCGACGCTGCAGGTGAGCCCATGAGGTGATGGCCTCAATGCAGTCGGGCAACTTCATGAGGATGGATGCATGAATATCGCGAGCTATGTCGATACGACCGCAGCTTTCCTCAAAGTAGGCAAATTGCAGCCTGATGCCAGGGCGGCTGATGGGTACGAACATGGTGGCAGCCCTTTGGTAAATGATCCTAACCTCTTCTTCCTTGCCCTCTTGCGCGGACATCCAGCGAGCGTAGCGGAACCAAAATTCGTCGTAGAAAGCGCATGTCACCAAGCACCGCTCATAGAGGAAGACGATGCGGGTGGTGTTCCCCTCTGACTCTTCAAAGTCAAGGTACTTGCGCCAGTTGGTGAGCTGCGAGCTCTCAAGCTCCGTTACATGGAAGTAAGGGCGCTTCATCTCGGATTCGTAGGTCCATCGCTTGTTGGTCTCAGATTGCGTCTGTGTGAAGTACTCATAGTACATGGCGTCAATCTTGGTGCGGACGTCGCGTTCCACCTCGAGCTCCGTTCGCTGCACACCGGCATACTGGGCACTCTCTGCCTCTACCTCGGTCTGGAATCTCTGCAGCGTCTCAGCTGGAACAAGCTCGGTAACGGGGCGGCTGTGGGAGAGCTGGCGGAATCGCTCAAAGTAACGAGCGTATTGGTGCATTGGAATGTGGATGACACGAGACAGGATGGCAAAGATTTTGTCTTGGGCCTCCTGTCGCTCTTCATACTCAATGTACTTATCCCAGAACGGGTGTGCGAGGAAGTCGAGGCCGACACAGGTTGCGCCGCGTTCAAAGAGCCTGGGGCGGATGGTCAGTACACAGCCAAGGGCGAGGGGACAGGGGGTGAATTGGGGAATGGGAGGCGTGCTATACAGGAAGGGGTATCAAGTGAAATCAACCAGCGAATCCAAGCCCAAAGTAAGGGATTCCAATGAGAGCGATGTGGTGGTGGTGTGAATGCGACGTGGAGCGGACAACGGATCAGTCATCGTCAAGTGGAAATCAGCAGAGCCTGGTAACTACTAGCGTGAGAGGGCATCCCAACAATGGGGCTGCTGTTGGCATTTCTCACCGACGGATACTTGAAAGGCAAGTGGATGAACTCCATGCATGGCTCGATCGATGCGCCGAGCGGCCGGTGAGGCATGCTGTGGTGATGGTGATGTTAAGGGGGAAGGAAAGCCGACCATCAACTACTTACTCTCTGACGAGGTGTGGGACGTGGGTGGTCTCCATTTTGAAGGAGCAGTAGTCGGTCCACAAGTCGACAGAATTGGTGATGCTGGCGCATCCTCGCTCGTAAACCTAGAGAGAAGCGCAATGTCAGCCGCGGCCGGGATCCAAGGGATGCAATGCGATGCGACGCAATGCGACACAACTACGACTCACCATCTCTGCTGACTCGGGTCCAGCAATGTTGAACTCGAGGTCGGCGTACTTCTTCCAGTAGCCAAAGAGCAGAGGAAATTTGAGGAGGAAGCGATCGTAGGCATCGCGAAGAGTAGCAAGGGCCTGGGGGCTAGAGTTGCGGTTCAGGCCGCCCTCCAGACCCTCGCACGCGCGAACCAGCTTCTCCCAGGTCTCGAAGTTATCGGGATCGACATCCTGTGTGCGCGAAATCAGATTAGCATTCTGTCAATTCGGCATTGATGTCAGGTGCGACAAAGATGGTGTCGCAATTCACGTACCACATCGGCCTGGAGCTTCTTGATCTCGGCGCTCTCCTCCTCGGAGCTCCCAAAGTGGTCGTAATCAGACATAGCAGGCGAAGATTTCGGATAACGAACGGCGGAACGACTGAGTTTCCAGGAAAAAGTCGACGAGGCGCAGAACTGCGAAGGGCTGCAGCAGGAAGCAGGAAGGGATTGTAGATGGTGGAGTGAGGGCACCGCGGGTCTCGAGGCTGTTTGGTGGCCGTTAGAATCGTGGGTGACCGGGTCGAGCTTCGAGGTCGCGGATGGAAGGGGGGCTGGAAATTTTATGAACGGGCATTAAAGGTAGGTACGAAATACGGACAGACCGCAGGTAGGCAGGTATCTCTGCATGCAATTGGGGGAAATGGGGCTGAGGCAGGGTACCTTGCCTTGGACACGGAAGGGACTTGTCTTTTCGGCGCCATGGCACCCAGAAGTAATGTACCTTGACAGGCGAACCCTTGCTCTTTGTGCTTTATCAGTGACGCGCGGAAGCGAATCAGATCGGCCAACAGCTTGAAGACATCAGGCGGTCGGCAGTCCTCAAGGAGCCGCTTCCATCAGCTCTCCAGACTCCAGCAGTTTAGTCAGGCACGTCCCGATCTCTATTTGCAGCAAAGCCTTGTTCTGTATGGGCTGTTCTAAATACACTGGATGATACGGATACCTTGGTGTATCTGCAGACTGCGTGTGCTTTGCGCGCGTCAATTTCAGGCTGCATCATCCAACCATGTCAGCTTCTTGCCCCTCTGCTTGTATCCGTATGGGAATTGTCACTCTGTGCATGGCATGGCACTTCCAAAATCTGATCTAGAACCCGCCCGACTGAACGGAGCCGACATTCCAATGTGGAGCAGGTCGCGTCCGTCGTCCCGTCGCCCCCCCCCCCCCCCAAAGGGCGCAAATCGTTATTTTTTTCCTAGGTGGCCATCTTTGGCGGGCTGACTTAGGTAAGCAACCTGTCGCTTGTGGATCCTATTTGACGTCCGATATTCATGAAAAACCTTTCCTCTCTCTTTTTTCCTTCTCTTCTTCACAATAAGGCTCGTGATGATTACCATACAATACATGATAGGAAGAGAATGACTGACCACCCAAGGTGGCAGCGTGATCTCAATATACATATCTGAAGCCTGCTTTGCCTCAAAGCATTGACATTATTCTTCTTTCTGGCGCCCGCAAGGCATTCCCCAAACCCCAGGGCTGGCATCCTTTCCGCGTCTCATCTTTACAACTTTTCCCCCTTTCCGCTCGACCTCCCCACCATCATGTTCTGAATGCCGTGTTTATCCAGACACCTTGTTCCTACTCGTGATCAAGTCTGAAGCGTCGAAAAGGGTTGTCCCCGGCCTTTGTTCCCCTATTGCGGCCTATCACCCGCTTAATTTGTGTTTACTACAATAACAAGCCCGACAGGTTGAGTGTACACATCTCGCCAGAGCATGTGGTGGACTGTCGAGCTGTGTTTAGGATGGAAGAGATCCCACAGTATACCGGCTTTACCATCGTAACCAGTCGCGAACGCTGTGAGGGCTTCCAGCAGCACTCAATTCCTACTGCGGGCATGCAGCAACCCTAAAAATGTCGGGTCCATACCTGTGGTGTAGTCGTGAGCAAAGACTGGTTCCCAAAGGAAGGTGGCATAAGCCGCCTCTTCATATGTCTGGTCAAACGCGCATGGTCTGAACTCGAGTCCATAATACTTCTCGAGCATGAAGGTGTACAGCTGGAGCGGAGGATGTGGAGCCCAGTTGTCATACTCCTCCTCGCCGCCGAGCAACCTGTACCGATCTCGCAATGTTGCCGCGATGTCGAAACCATGACAAGCGAAAGCGGTGCCACCCTGAGCGCTCTCTGACGGTAAGGCCTGTAATTGAGTCGCTACCAGTCGCGTACAATGCATGTCCTCGATTTTGATAGGCATAGACACCTCTTCCAGCTGGAACTCCCCAAAGAGAACAACTGTCACTCTACGCATGGGAGGCAGGTCAGAAGCGTTTGAGTTCTTGAGTGGCGCGTAGCCATGGCGAGGCTTCCCACTGGCGTTGTAGAGCTGGGGCGATTGATACTCGTGGGCATAGATGGAAGCCATCACCTCCCATGGTACTTCAGTGGCACAAGCCGGGTCTGAGACAGTGGCGATGTCTTCTACCAAGTAACGAGCCAGATGCCCGAACACCTTTTCTTGGCTCGCTGTTGTCATCTTGTGAACGTCGTAGACCGGGAAATCCGCAATGTATGCCTGGCTATCGTCTGAAAGACCTAAACGACGTTGCCAAATTTGACGAGCTTGCAATGACTGGAGCTCCTTGCTAAAACGTTCCCTAGCATCCCCGTTTCCAGCAGCTTTTATGAATGGCTCATTGTGAGACTTCCATAAGAAAGCGCCAGCGAGAAGGCTCTTGTACAGCACTCGATGGAATTTTTCTCGGAAATCGAGAAAACGTTGATGAAATACGGACTCGTCTTTGGTACACCAGGTGATGTCCCTGATCTCAGGGCATAGTAGACAAGAATACCCGTCTTCCTCGATGTGAAAGTAGGCGTACTCCAGACACGCAGCCAAATGTCGGAACGCAAGTAAGTCTCCCAACTCGGACGAACGGCACTTTTGATAAGAAGGTTGCAGCTCTTCAATATCATCATGTGTCATGTCAGGTGGCAGCTGGCCGGCGTGGAAGGCTTCTTTGACCAGATTTGTGGCGCGCACCTACGCGGCTGAAGTGAGTGACGACGAGGCCTGTCAATGTTTGGGAAAGCAGAGACTTACGGCAATGACAGCATACTTGTACGCGGGCATTGTTCGCGTGCCGATGATATCAATGAAGCTTGCGCCGTGGTCCAACCATATCGCGTAAGTATACTGACAGGATCTGGCAAGAGCAAATGCGTCGTCGAAGCTAACACAGCTACCCAACACCCGAGCAATGATTTCTGGGGGGTGTGAGGTGAACATCGCCATTGTCACGTTCCGGTGGGTATCGGAAGAGAAAGAGGGGAAAAATTGAAGTCGCAGGCAACGATAGATGTTTGGGAAACAGGGTCTTAATCGACGGGAAGGCGGAAATCATAGTAGGTACCCAAAGTAAGGTACTCCCAGGCAGGTACGGATACCCGTCTTCACTTTAGAATGTTAGCAGCAACGGTCACGGAGCGGACCCATATTAATCATAGAGCTCTCGTTCAGTCTCACATTTTTCCGACTTGAGCTGCATTGCTTAAGCCATTGCCAGCGTGAATTCCCATCTCATGACCACAAATCCAGGGAAAGATATTTCGAAAGCATTCTCCGACACTTGCAGACGGAGTGGAAGGGGTTCGTCGCATGATTAGTTTAGTTTGCTGCTTTGTCTTCTGATGGAACCTTGTGCCGTTGCAAGCTGCATCTGAATATAGCATTCTTTGGCTGTCTTTGAATCTAGTGTACTCCGTAACTACATGGTGGCTATCGAATCTCTACGCAGCCGAAAACCAACTTCTCGCGATATCTCTTGAAGTTGATACTAATGTTCCATTTATGTCTGACCTGCGTACGCTGAGATCCATGGATGGCTACTCAAAGTTGAGGTATGCACAAGACAAGATCCCTGCTGTTCAACAGGCGCAAGCCGGCTGCTTCCTCCCAGTCACCCAGGCTTCCTGATGGCTAAAAGGCAAGGTGGTCCGTGAGGCTGAAACCACCTGGAAGGAAGCGAGCTGCCCACTTGCCTGGCCAGTCGGAGCTTAAGGTAGGCGCTAAACATACAGCGGTCCTATGCCCCTGGTTACCTCCGGCGGGACGGACGTCATTGTCGGGCTCCGTGTTGACGACCCAAATCCCGCTACTGTCAGCCGCGACATTTTGCTAAACGCCATAAACCTTTGGAGGCCTTCGAGCCATTCTAAGCCTCTACTTTGCTTCAACAAAACCACGACATACCGCACCGACGTTTTCCTTCCCACACGTTTTAATCATCGACCTTGAGTTCACTGGCCCGCCGACGACGGCACCCTTCGATGAACAACCGAACTCGTCAAAGCATGCCCTGCGACGCCTGTGCTCTCCCGAATCTGTCAGCAACACCTCCGAACGACCATGGATTACTCCAGCTCTGGGACTTGGCCTTCTCAAGTGCCAGCACCCGAAAAGTCTAGCCAGTTGTACATTCGCGACTATCCTCATCGATCTATCGCAATTGTCTCGGCCTCTCACGCCCTCATATTTCGCTACAGCTCCTCCAGCACCGGCGCAAACGGCTCCCTTACTTCCCTCGCATCCACCCGCTCACGACCCAACGGCGACCCTGCTGCGTCGAAATGCATGGTCGAATTTACTCAGATCACAAAAAAGACGCTCGCCGAATATCGACCGTTGACACCACGACCCATCTTTGGAACATTGGGTCTGATCTCTGTCGAGGGCGACGTGTTCCTATCCGTTGTGACACATGCTACAAGAGTCGCTACCCTTAGGCCGGGGGAGACTGTAGAACGGATTGCGAGCGTTGCATTTTTCTGCCTCAACAGAAGCGAATGGGACGATGTTGTCTCTCTTGATCCTCTGGATTCCGAGGTTTCGGATGCCAACTCGGTGTATGGCCAGAACCTGAGAGGGCGGGAGCTTCAGGTAGAACATCCTTGTACGGACCTTCGGAAGCTTTTGGGAAATGGCACATTTTACTTCAGTACCGACTTCGATCTTACAAACAGATTGCAAGATAGGTAAGGTCGCATCCATTTCCGGCACCAATCCGTCGCTGACCGTCTAGGACTGTGAACTCATACACTTTTGACATTGATAACTTTGATGATTCCTTCCTATGGAATTCGTACATGATCAGCCCATTGGTCCAGTTCAGATCTCGTTTGCAGCCCCAGGAACGCGAAGCTTTGGATTCGTCACGGTTCCTTACATCGGCTATCCGTGGTTTCTGTCGGACAATGGCCATCCCCCAAACGAGCGCACCTCTAAAGACACGATCGACTGGGCTGCCATCGTACTTGACCGTTGTTTCAAGACTCTCTTGTCGAAGAGCGGGAACGCGATTCAACTCCAGAGGCATTGACGATGACGGAAACGTGGCAAACTTTGTCGAGACAGAAACTATATACTGGAGCCCCGGCGGGACTCTCTTTTCGTATGCTCAAGTCAGAGGTTCAGTGCCTCTGTTCTGGGAACAGACTGCGGAGCTCATTCCCGGCAAGCAAAACATCACCGTTATCAGATCTCCCGAGGGAGCTCAGCCGGCCTTCAACAAACACTTCGCGGATTTGGAGCAAGCTTACGGCGCCGTTCACGTGGTCAATCTTTTGAGTGAAGGTAAACCTGGCGAGGCGCAGCTCAGTCAGCTGTATCATCTCGGCGTAGAACATTGTCCATTGAGCCAGGTCGGGGAGCACGAGTCGCAAGACCACGCGCTTTTACGAGAGACTCACTACGACTTTCATGCCGAGACGAAAGGTCCTGGAGGGTACGAGGCCGCACGTCAGATCCGCAGATACATTGAGAACTCGATAGACGGCTTTGCCTACTACCTGGCGGAGCAGAATGAAGATTTAGGCGCCGACACCAATGACGGCCAGAGCTTAAGTCGTATGGTTGTGGTTCTCCAGCAAGAGGGTGTGTTTCGAACAAATTGTCTCGACTGTTTGGATCGGACAAATTTGATTCAGACCCTCGTTTCTCAAATGGCTACAGAGGCTTTCCTGGGTCATCGAGGCGAATATGCCACATCGGATTTTTGGATGCGACACTCAACTTTGTGGGCAGACAACGGAGACGCTCTATCGAAGATCTATGCGGGCACTGGTGCGCTCAAATCATCCTTCACCCGCTCTGGGAAGATGTCCCTGGCTGGAGCTGTTGCGGACATGCGCAAATCGGTGCAGCGTCTTTATCACAACAATTTCACAGATTCGGCTAGGCAGACGACGATTGACCGGTTGCTTGGGCGGCTGGTCAATCAACTACCTGTCCTTCTTTTCGACCCCATCAGTGACTACGTTTCTGGTGAATTGACGAAGAGAAGCGCTGAGTTCTCATCCACACAGGACATAAACATGTGAGTTATGTATCCGTATCCTTGGTCTCTCACGCTAACCCAGTAGGTTGGTCGGCACCTTCAATCTCAACGGTCGCACTGAAGGCGTTGATAGCGATCTTGATGCATGGTTGTCTCCGGAAGAACTGGGTAACGTGCAGCCCGAAATCGTTGCTGTTGGGTTCCAAGAGATAGTCGAGTTGAGCCCACAACAAATCATGAACAGCGACCCTTCGAGAAAACAACTCTGGGAAGCTGCGGTGAGAAGGTGCCTCAACAAACGAGCCAAGTCGCTTGATGGAGAAAGATATGTGTTGCTCCGGAGTGGACAACTCGTCGGAGCGGCGTTGTGCATCTTTGTCAAGGCATCAGCATTGGCCAACATTAAGAACGTTGAGGGAAGCGTCAAGAAGACAGGGCTTTCGGGGATGGCCGGCAACAAAGGCGCGGTTGCTATACGATTCGACTACGCAAATACCCATATCTGCTTCGTGACAGCCCATTTGGCTGCCGGGTTTTCGAATTATGACGAGAGAAACAGAGACTACGCGACAATTCATCACGGGTTGCGCTTCCAACGGAACCGTGGTATTGATGATCACGGTAAGCATACTTATCCCGGAGCCTTGTAGCACCCGTGAGCTTGAAATTGATCTCGAAGCAGATGCTGTTGTTTGGCTGGGAGACTTTAACTACAGAATTGGTCTCAGCTCTGAGGCTGCCCGTAGCCTAATCAAGAAGGGTGATCTGGCGACACTTTACGAGAACGATCAGGTGAGCAGAGAACATTACTCCGGTGTTTCCTACCAACATGCTGACTGCTTCGTAGTTAAACCTCCAAATGATCGCAGGACTTGCGTTTCCCTTTTACTCAGAGGCCCGTATCAATTTCTTGCCTACATATAAATTCGATCTTGGCACGGACAATTATGATACTTCGTATGTTCAAGAGGTCGATATGTTTGGTAACGCAGAGGCTAATGTCCCACAGTGAGAAAGCCCGTATCCCAGCCTGGACCGACCGTATCCTGCGCAAGGGTGGGAACTTACGTCAATTGGCGTACAACTCAGCTCCTCTCAAATTTTCGGACCATCGACCAGTGTATGCTCTATTCCAGTGCAACGCCAGCATTGTCGATGAAGCTTTCCGAGATCAAATCAGTAAAGAGCTATATCAACGGCGAAAGGCCGAAGTTGGAGACACGACAGCGAACCTGGATTCAGAGGAAACCGACGATGAGGATCTGATTGGATATGAAGCCATCGAGCCTGGGCTACCTCCTGCCAGCTCTGACCGCCAGAAATGGTGGCTGGAGAACAAGCAGCAGGCTCGAGCTGACATCAAGCAACCGACGGCTCCCGAGGGCCACGCCGCAATACTAAATCCCAATAGGGCGCCGAATCCCTTCACGCCAACCGGAGAGCCGGACTGGGTAAACGTACCCAGATCAAGACTATCGTCCTTTTCTAGCGTCTCAACCTCGCCGTACGAGCATGTTTCTGCTCCCAATGATCTCTCGTCGTCGGCAACGAACCGGATAACGAGGAAGTTGCCGCCACCTTTTGATCCATCAGCTCTACCAGGGAAGTTCAACGGCCTCAATATCAAAGATGAAAAGTCGCAACGCGGAGAGACGCCGCCGCCGCCACCGCCGCCTAGAAGACAGACGGGAGCAAGCGCGGCAATCCAGCATCCACCTTTGATACCTTCCAATAAATCGCGAAATACGACGACGACGCCTCCCCCTCCACGACCGTCATCTGCCATTTCCCAGCTTTCACAGATGTCGTCACAATCCAAATCCAAACCGGCACCACCCGTGGCGAAGAAGCCGGCACACCTGGCTACGGTGCCCGCTACGGCATCTCCAGCTCTGAGTAGCAACGGGACAGGTCAGTATAGAGACGAGCCGGAAGAAAAACCACCGCTACCGGTCCGAGCCTCGACAGGCTTCACGAATCTTGGTGCGAGTAGGGAAGGTACTCTGCGCAAGCCAGTAGGCACGCCGGCTAAGCCCCCCAAGCGAGCGGAGACTATGACTATTGAGTCCGGGAGGCACACCCCGATGGCTGGAGCCGTCGCTCTACCGGGGATGAGGGCTGGGGAGGAACGACCAAAACCAAAGATCCCGGCAAAGAAGAAGGCGCCGGTAGACTTGCTAGACTCACTGGGCGATGATGGACCCAGCGACATGGGAAGCTGGGAGACGTTGGTCCCCAGCTCTCAGAGTTAATGCGATCGGCTGACAAGTCTTTCATGACAAAAGGATGGACAAGCTAGTGTGCATTGCTAGAAGCAAAAACGGCGAGACTGCCTTTGATGATTGATGTGTATAGGTAATAGCATTTGGCTGATTCGGGCGGGCTCATGTTGCTATGGCGCTGAGCGGATGATTAGACGGAGTGAAGCATACAAAAAGCAACTGTCGTACAAGAAGGCTTTAAAATGCAATTGCCGTGTTCCACGAACCCACTGGTGCTCTCCACCGTTTCGCTCAGCATTGTTCATCATGAAGCGAAGAGGCTACAATACCTTTGAGACTGAGTTGACCGTCCATGCCCCCGCCTGGGAGGCTGGCTGTAGGTAAATCTAGAAGCAAGCCAGCCGATGTGGGTGAGCCGGGGAGTGGGTGACGACGCCCGAACGCCAATCGGCTTCTGTACCACAGCCACCCACATCACAACGTCATTCCAAGCAAATGCCAGGTCGTTCTTTCACCTTGATCGTAAAGCGGCCTCACCGAATCTGGATGGATGGACCCTGGAGCTCAGCTCTGGCAGGGGGCAAAGGGTTAGAGCTGATACCCTCAATTTTGTAACGCCCATTTCTGTCCGATGCATGGTCTTTCCCACCCCGCTGCAAGTTGTCTACTGTTTGCCTACCTACTGTACATCCCTACGGAGATCCAGTCCTCATAGTACCAATGTCCGTAATAACTGAGACACTACACCGCTTTCTCAAGGTCCAGAAGGATGAAGTCGAAGCCTCCTCCGCCTTTCTGTGCGTGCGCTTCAGGAGTTCATTGACATCTGACAGCGGAACCGTCCAAGCACGAACGCACCCCCCTAGTCCAAGTCCAAGTCACGCCTCCCCAGCGCCACAGCGAGCAGCGAACAGGGGGGTTGCTGGTCAAGACAAGAGACTGGAGAGGGGGGATGTTCGAGCTCTCTGTCTCTCCATCTCTTCCCCTTGACTTGTGTGATCTGGAGGAAGAGGAGGGGGACGGAGGAGGGAGAAACCGAGAGAGATCACCCACGGTATTGTACCACGAAGACGAAGTGTCACCGCACGCGCCGCGCCGCCTTCATTATTTCGGTTGTCCGCCATGAACCGCTTCCGGGGGTTACGTAGGTTACTCACTCAAATAGCCCACGCGGGAAACCCTCCTCTCCAAGGCTCCAATAGCGTAATAGACGATCAGAGAGATTTGACAAGCATAAAAACATAAACAAGAACAAGAACAAGGGACCTACTGCGATCGACCCTGTCACTGCCAGTCTTCCCTGGGCCATCTGAGAACACCATCTTCCTCTCTTAGTGCGGCACTCGGCAGTGGTCATACTGGACTGGGCCTGCCGATCGTGGGGCAGACGAGGCCCGAACCAGGCAAACGTCGCCAAGGGAAGCCCACCCAAATCGCCTCCATACGCAGGTAGAGGCAGTTGGTGGCATTGTCGTGCATGTCTAGTTTGATAGAGGTAGCAAAGCAAGAGAGAACCGGTTCCCTTCGAAACGCTCGACTCGCTCGACTCTTGCCTTTGCCTTGCACTTTTCCCCCGTCCCCTTTTGTTCCACTAGGGGACCTCTAACCAGTTACTGCGCAAGTCTTGTTTTTCTCTTTGGTTTCCCTAGCGGCGTACGAGCCGGTCTGCTTCATCGTCCGGCTCGTCTCCATCCCGTCCCATCTTTCTAACACTCCTTTTTCTTCGTTCGTTCGTTTCTTTCTTCCTTTCTTTCTTCACAACCTAAATCGCTTCCCACCCTCATCGTCCATCCGCCGGCATAGCATGCTGCAGTCTACACACCCCTTCTTCCCAGACACATCCAAGCTTTTCCCAACTGTCCTGCAGAGTGTATCGGTGCTACCTTAACCCCTACCTTACCGTAGCTTCGCCTGTTCGTATGTGCGTCTAATACCAAAGTCACCTGCCGGAACTTACCCTGCCTGCCCCCCTCTCTTCTTCCACCAGACCTTTTTTAGTTTGCAAGGGCCGAACGCCAGACGAACGGACGGACGCTTGTCGCGACGAACGACCTCGAACGAACGAACCCCACCAGCTTCGTTTCCTACTCGTTTGTCGTTCGTCCTCCTAGTTGCCCGCTGCCGCTACTCCTCCTCAAGGGGTGGTTTGTTTTATTTCCTGTCCAAGAGACGCTTTGCAGCAAAGCCCCTTACCTACTAAGACGCATGGCCTGGACCATACGGATATCGCTTCCCGAGATCTCCTATCACGCAACCTACGCTCCTCAGCTTGATACCAAGGCTCTATTACCAAAACACACTTACCTAAACATAATCACAAGCCCACCGCCGTCGACAACATCTCCTAGCTGTCCCGGTTGATATCTTTTCTTCTTCCGAACGTCCTTTCATCACCGCCGCTGCTACTGGGATTTCATTTCTTATTCTCATCCCTAACCTGTCTTGAAGCTCCGCTCAACATACCACCTCTCAATTTAAATACTCTTTTTTGTTTTTGTTTCATACGCCCGGAGGCGTTCACTCTACCGCTAAGATCTGCGGACCACCCAAAAGAGAAGGCCGGGTGACAAGAAGAGGCTTGACTCGTTCATCCATCGTCCTGCACTCTTGTCCTCGTTTGCCGCTGTTCTGAAAAAGCTAGAGAAGCGAGACAGGGAAAAAAATTCGAGTCTACCTCCCTATCTTTGTACCCATCTCGACAATCCCTGACCTGATTCAAGTCATCTGGTCAACGGCCACACCTACTTGCCTCACAAAACAGACACCAGCACCCGCGCACACGCACATGCGACACACGCATATACTACTCATCTTATCTTCGAATCCGGGGTTGGCGCCGACTTAATCACATTCGGAGTATACCTTGCACACACGACGGAAGAGCACATGAACGGGACGTTCGAGACCATTTACCAAGTAGAGACAGCCTTGCATAACACCCGAACAGGTCTCGTGTTACCTACGCATTATTAGACGGCCACCATTTTTTTTGCTCTAATATCCTCTGTTTCCTTCAGCCTCCTCTCTTCTCCTCCCATCTTACATTTTCTCCTCTCTGCTTTACCTCTGGCCGATATCATCGAAACGGACGGACCTTGGCAATACCCGTTCTCAACGCTCAACACCTAATTTTTCTCTCCTCCGCATGTTTTGGGTTTCTGTCACGTAAAGCGCAGACCTTCTCGAAGACCCTCACGCCTCCGACATACTTCTGCTTTCGGTCTTGGCTTGGAGCATCATCCTCATTCCAGGTTTAGCAACCGAGACCCTCAACCCCCGTTACGAACAGACTGCGAACGGCCACTGGATGCTCGGACACCCAATACTTCATAGGAGGAAACGGCCACCAACATCCGCTGCATACTCATAAATCGAAGCACACTCTTCAACTACGGCAAATATCAACATATCAAAGACCCGGACTAAGACCCAAGAGAAAAAGAAGAAGGGAAAAGGTATCCAACATGTCCAACCCAACCCTCTCAAAGCAACAGCGCATCCAGGTTTGGCGCGAAGAGGTAGCGGCCTCAGCATCCCTATGCACATGCCCGCCCTCCTCCCCAGCCGCATCCGCCTCCTCAACAAATATCTCCCTGTCCGCGGCCTCTTCTTCAGCATCATCATCCGCATCCTCCCCGGGAGCAGGTGACGCCTTTACCTTTCCTCGTAGCGACATCTTGCCCGGGCAAGGAACTTACTGCCCGACATGCTCCCGCCTCGGCGCCCCGTCCGCTATGGGTCTGGAGCCCTCGTCCGCCTACCTCGACCAGACGCAACCCGGCGGGGTCCTCCCCGGTAGCCACATCGCCCCGGGCATCTTCCGCGTAAAGACAGCCAACAACGCAATATTCCGCGGCATGCGTAACTTTGTTCGCAAGCTCAGCGGGAGCAGGGCAAGCGGGCCTATGCCACCCCGCGGCGTTGAGGACGCAACCAAGATGTATCGACGCGCAACCCTAGCAGGCTGGCCCACGGCCACGAATGCAGCGCTAGTCGCCGAGGCAGAGGCAGCGATGGCGGCAGGAGATGGACCAGAGGCCGAAGAGATTGACTGCGCCGTCGACGAGGCGGACTCTGAGGGCCGGGGCCACGTGCCGAAGCTGATCGCCGAGAAGCAAGCGAGGCTCAGGAGGGCTGAGAGGCTGCTCGCGAGGACGAACGTGGCCCGTTAGAAGCATACTTGTGCACGATGGAGTACGAGAGGAGCTGTTGAACCGGCAAAGATGAGTGGGTGGAATGTCTGGATGTTGCGAATACCATGAGGCGCATATCAGAATTTTTGTTTTGGTTTCTTGGAAACACGGAGGAGTTCTGGGGATGTCTGGCTGGGCTGGTTGGCGTTTTTGAAATGTGCTCTCCACATACATGGTTGTATTCTGGCATGTTCAGGAAATACTAGGAAATACCAATTTGTTCATTCTTCTATAACCGATCTGACGGCTTCCCTCGCCTTATTGATACCGAACGCCTGTCGGGGATGTATATACATATGTATGGCAGCATCGTCACATCGCACATTGCACAGCCGTCCTGCTGCCAGTCATGACATCCTTAGTTGCGTCACTTGTTGAACAGGCCATCTTTGATCCGTTCTTTACCCGAGACTTCAAGACCCCATTGTCATTTCACAGCATGTTGACGGGCGCAATTATTGATGAACATTTGTTATTTTCTTTTTGGTCTTGTAGACTGAATAGACAGGGGGCATTTGAGGGGGGCAAAAGGACTTTCTCTCCGTGAGAAGACGCGCGACAACTGAAGGACCACTATGAGGAAAACCGAAAAGAGAACACGAGACAGCCGTAAAACCATCCAGCACAGAGGTAAAGGCGGGAATCGAGGAGAACAAAAGGAGAGATTCTGAGCGTAGGCGGATACAGAGGGGGAATCAGTAGTTAGTTGCCAAGTAGAATCCCTGAACAGAAACGAAGCTGTTCCAGACCCTGGTTGGACATCCAAGACACCAATAGAAATCATGCCACGCATTGTTCCTCTCTCCGCGTCCAATCCTCAAAAACCCTCCCCTTTTGCTGCGAGACTCCGAGGGAGTCACAGATATTAGCCACCGATTAGGCGGCTAGACTGAGGCCGCCAGAAGGTCCGCATATAGCGCATACCGACGGCCGAGCAGACAAGCCATCTCAGCCTCGTCGCGAGCCGAGATGGAGTGGTATCAGGGTAAGACAAGAATTTAGGAGGCAGCGGGGGTCTCCTCGGCGGCCTTGGGCTCCTCGGCCTTGGGCTCCTCGGCCTTGGGCTCCTCCTTCTTCTCCTCAGCAGCCTCGGTGGTGCCGGCGGCAGCACCCTCAGCATCGCCGCTGTCGGAAGAGGTCCAGAGAGTGAGGTTGTCACGCAGGAGCTGCATGATGAGAGTGCTGTCGCGGTAAGACTCCTCGGAGAGAGAGTCGAGCTCAGCGATAGCATCGTCGAAGGCCTGCTTGGCGAGGTGGCAAGCACGGTCGGGCGAGTTCAGGATCTCGTAGTAGAAGACGGAGAAGTTGAGGGCCAGGCCAAGGCGGATGGGGTGAGTGGGGGTCAGCTCGGTCTGAGCGACATCGGTGGCGCTCTAAACAAGAGGATCGTATTGTTAGATTCAATATTCTCTCAATCAGCCAGGGTCAGGCTCACCTTGTAAGCATCGTGGGCAGCGGTAGCGGCACCCTTGCGCTTGTCGCCAGAGGCGAACTCAGCGAGGTAGCGGTGGTAGTCACCCTTCCTGTATCACGGAACGGCACGGTTAGTCTCGGAAACTGGGCCATTGAATAAGACTGCCGGCAGCGGCGGCGTCGTCGGATAACGTACATCTTGTGGTAGAAGACCTTGGACTCGCCGGTCTGGGCGTTGGGGATAAGGCTGTCGTCGAGGACATCGAGGACATCCTGGCAGACCTGCTCAAGCTCGAGCTCGATCTTGGTGCGGTACTCGCGGATGGTGCCGACGTGCTTGTCGGTGCCCTTGCTCTCCTCCTTCTGCTCAATGGAGGAGATGATGCGCCAGGAGGCACGGCGGGTACCGACGACGTTCTTGTAGGCAACGCTGAGGAGGTTGCGCTCATCGACGCTCAGCTCACCGCCCAGCTTGGCGACCTCCTTCATGTAGCCAACCATTTCATCGTAGCGCTCGGCCTGCTCGCAAAGGCGAGCGAGGAAGGTCTTGCTGGAAGGAAAGGGTCAGTTAGGGGGGAAAAAAAGTTCGCGAAAGACCTCGAGGCCAGAAGGTGTGGTTGATGAGACGTAGTCCATCGACGAGGAGGGCTCGGCACAAACCTTTCACGCTAGAAGAGGGGCACAAGTCAGCATACTTTGTTCCCGTGGCGGATGATAGGAGGCATGAGTGATTTGAGAGGGGAGGAAGAAGGCCATCGGGTTTGGAGAAGCCAAGCGAAGCAAAAATAGCATCGACAGTGGAAATCAGAGCGGTGGATCGAGGATCGCATCATGGGCATCTTCGTTGCCGTGACACAGGCAGGCAGAGCGATCGAGGGGTTCCGGAGGGGTTTTGGGGTGAGGTTGTGTTGGGCAGCGTGGGGGAAAAGGTACTTACATCGCCAGACATGTTGAACTCGTGGATTGAGGTGATGAGGGTAGGTTGATGTGATTTGGAAGAAGATTAAAGAAGGCGGAAATGGATACTGCGAAAGGCGCGCAACGAAGTGGTGAGAAAGTTGACGCGGCTTTGTTTTGTTGTTGAAGAGTAGAAAAAGGTGTGCGGTGGAAGAAGGAGGGAAGGCGGAGGGAGTGTTTACGTGTGACGAATTATTTTGGGAGAGGGGGGGAATCTCAAAGGGAAGTTGCGAGGCCAGTCCAGTGAAGATTTAATTGGGTTGGTCCAAGTCCCAAGTCCCAAGGTCGCTCTTTCCCTCCTAGTCTTTCACCCCAAGGTACCTACCTACCTTACTTACCTCAGCTATGGTAGCCTTAGGTAGGTGCCGCACATTCACCCCCTCCACCTGTTGATTTTCCCATCTGCGCACGTTGGGGTCGCTCTTTTGCTGCTTAGATTTCTGCTACCTACTTGCACCTAGGTAGAGGCTGGTCAGCTCACGTTACTTCCTTTCGGCAAGACAAGGTATATGAGTTTTCTGGGATCCATGGCACCAGAAAATCTAACTCCTACCTATGAATGAGGTAGGCAGTTTCAATCTTCATCCACTTTGCTCTCGGTACGGTGTAGGTACCTCATTGCCGCGCCGTTCTCTGTACTATAACTCGTTGACTGAGCTTGCCTGCCCTGTGCCTGCTGGCTGCACCTGCCGCTTCGACCCCACTATGTTCCCTTTTCTCCCCTCCCCTCGCTTGCTTGCGGCTTGCCCCCTTCTGCGCTGGCCTGTGCTGGGAGAGAGGAACCCTGGAATTGGATTGGAATGGACGGATCGAGTGAATTGGATATTACCTATGGACGTGGTCAGGCTCTCGGGGCTCGGGGACTCTGGCAAATGGGCCCCCAGGCCACGGGCGGATTCCCATTTGGCGGGAAGGGAAGAGAAATGGGCTGGGCTGGGCTCTCCATCAACATTACTTTGGGCCCCAAGATACTTCGCCTTACGTGCCTCGGAAAGCTGAGGAAACACGACCTAACCAAAGGTACCAAGACCTGGTGAGTGGGCTGTGACCAGTGGCAGGGCAGTGAGTACCTTCTTGCGTTATCGTTTCCCTAATTATCTGCCTATCATCACCCATCTTTACATCCGTTGTATCGTTTACTCAAGGTACCTGGGCCCCGAACTGGCTGCAAGGCATGAATACAGGCTTGTCTACGAGTCGTGGGTGAACAGCAGAGCATCAGATAGACAAGAGACGGGCGGGAAAGTCAACCCAGATTACATTTGCACGTGGTGAAGTCCTCATTTCTGTTGGAGAGCGGCCCTGAGATTAGCTTGCCCGCCGAGCACATCAAGGGCATGATTCCGCCTCCAAATAACCAGGCCCATGATGTATCTCCCTGGTCCACAACTGACGCCCATCCGGTTGGCCTGGGCCGGATATGTACCGCAGAAGTACTCCGAGAGTCCGTACCTGACAGTTAACAGCAACTCGAGCGAACAACCGCTTTCTGATACCCTCAACTTTCTTTCCATCGTTGGTTCAGTCTACTTGCTTCCAAGTTGGAACAGCATTTCAAGAGTCCGAACTCGTATTTGCCGGGCTGTTGTCTATTTACCAAATTACCGGTGGGATGGGCCAGTTACCCATTTGAGCTTCAGAGCTATCTTGAGGCCGCCCGGGTAGGAATGGGAATCTTGATGGAAATTAGCATCATAATGACCTCTCACGCCTCTCCAGGCCAGGAAATTACAGAGAAGAGGATGAATCAGAAGAAGAAGAAACGACCTGGCAAATGAGTCCGTGAGAAGGGGGTGAACTCGGGGGAGGGTTCAGGTCACTCAGATAACTCCGGTGAAGGTCATTTGCTTTTTGGCTTGTTGAATGCGAGCTCCAGCCTCCAGATGCTGCGCGTGTGGTGGACGGACGGCCAGCTCAGCACAGCACAGCATAACACAAGCGCAGCAACATCCTAAATACTGGCTGCTGACTGGCTGATTTGGTTTTCGGGGCTAGTCCCACCCTCTCCATGCATTTCCCCGCTCCTGCTTTTGCGACACGCCCACCTTGTACGTATCTCCTTCCCTGACCACAACTGCTTTTTTTTTTTTTTTTTTTTTTTTTTTGCAGTCTCGTGATTCTTTCCCTATGGTGATACCGTGGTTCTCTCCCGTTCCAAGCACATCCACGCGTGATAGAGTCCGCTGGCCCTTGCCTCACTTCACACCCTGCAGTCTCTCCATTAACGACCAACCCACTCCCGTCACCTCACCTCACCTCTCATCTTTCGTCGCATCCACCTCACTTCAACTTGTTGTCGCTTGCTCTATCCATACGGATACCCAGCACGAGAATGGCGTAACTTCTAGTACAGCAACACAATTCGACATATCACAGGCACCCAATGCCATTGGGCCTGACGGATATAAGCCAGCAATACCTCGTGGCTAGCTACTGAGAGGCACTCGTGTACGGATACTGTTCCAGAACCCCATCCGGATTGGGCCGTCTCTCGAAGCAAATGTAGCTCTTGCTTCTGATGGCTTACCTCATCTCGCCGAAGTGCTTGAAGACGGGCATCAAATGCCATCCCATGTTGTCTCAAACTCACATTGTCCATACCAGGCTCGTGAGTCGTCCTCAACTACATCATCTATCTTACCCATTTATTCTCTTCAAAATCTATCATCCGATTGCTAAGCTGAACTGGATATCTGGTGGCCGAATGAGGGAAATTGTCTATCACACCAAATGAAGAGGCCGTAAGCGTTATTGCGAGCGTCAAAACACCCTGGACACCAACCCACTGGACTCGGATTGTGCCCTGGAAATTGGGAATTGGGACGGCGAGCCGAAATCCTACGACGACATTGTAGCCGTCGACATCGGCTTCTGCTTTCCATGTCTTACGCGATTTGCTCTCGGGCCAATCGCTGTCAATCACGGTCTCATACAGTCTGCTTTCCTCGTAGAACCCGGCGCCTCAATGCCGAGAGCAGCAGCCACCCGGTCGACTAAGCCACGATCCCATCCATCCGGCTTACATTGCCGCCTGACCACGACGGTCTCTTCCCAGTTCGTTTTCCATCTAGGTATTGGCGCCCGTTACTACTAGATGCTCCATCGGTGGCTCTCCCTGCGTCGTTGTTGCGCTCATGCACATGCTTGTCGAGAGCCTTGTGCTGTGTCATGCACGAAACTACCTTGCCCACCCGCTTACGCCCAATCTGCAAAATGTCCGATCGTTCATCAATCTGCTGTCGTATCTTTCTAACTTAAACCCCAAAGAAACCGGTTTCAACTTTCAACCCAAGGGATGATCCCCCGTTGGATCAGCGTGCCATCCGTCATCCCCAGCTTGTCTCCTCGCAGGCTCAGAGGTCATGAGAGTGAAACGTCAAAGGCTCCTGCGCCATCATCATTATGTACGAATACAGCAAACTCACGTCGACTCAACTCGGGCTGCGAGACGAAGCAGACTCTCTATGGCCGAATCCAGATAACTGTCACACCCTGATTTCTGATCTCCAATCTCTTGGCCGCCCTTCTCGTCCCAACTTCGAAGCCAACCACCGCCACCCCACCAACTCGAGGCCATCATAGGTAGCTTTCGGGTGACTCACATCCAGCACAGCCCATGGGGGGATCCTCTATGCAGTCGGGTCGAACAGGCGACTCGCATGCCACAGGCCCTTGGTCGCCGCCTTATCGCGTGGCACCCTCTGGGCGGTGCCGCGGTGGGCGTGGCAGCACTTGCAGGCTGCAGCTTTCTCTCAAGAAATATTCCGCGATCCCCAGTATCCGTACGCGATTTCGACCATGGCCCAGCTTCTTTACCCGTCGGCGTTAAATTATGCCACGGCCCCTTTTGCGAGCCATGCTCCCCGCTGGCGCAGCTGCTTCCCTTTCTACCCCTCATCTCTCGCCCTGGTATCCCTTCCCTACCCTTTCTCGACCCCTTCCAAGTGACAGTGACATGAATGCCCGAACCCGGAGGTGCGGACGAAATTCATGCGAAGGGCAAGCCAACCTGGTCGTGGAAAATCCGGGAACCCACAACTGCCAGCAACGAACACTAAACAGTGAGAAGTGTGGGAACTCGAAGGGGGGGCCCTTTACCCGCGAGGTTTAAGTAAGCACTTCGAGCCAACAAGCCGCAAGCCAAACTCGGGGATATCCACTCAACCCGGGCTGTTCCCGGCGTCCGCAAGATCTTCTGTTACGGCAAACGGCTCTCACATGAACGACTGTCGCCCTCCTTGAATGTAATCATCAGAACGACATTTCCTGAATAAGGAACAAGTCTCCCCCGCCGTGTACGGCAGGTATTCGACAATAGCATATATAAAACCAGCAAGCTCGTTGTGTTTGTCCCTTGATCTTGATGGCGTGACAAACGGCAAACTGGTATCATCCCCCCAATGGAACGCAAACCGAGTAATGACTTTGTATAAGTTGTCATAGATGGCTCCGTGGCTGATGCTGATTCGTGAGGGGGGTGAAGGTGGTCGGCGAGCGACTTAGACTTTGCTGGTTTGACACGGGTCAATCACATCAGTCGAGAGTTGCTCAGTGTAAGGCAATGGTTGGCATTGTCATATTTTTTGAATTTCCCGTTCATTCTGTCTGAAGCTAGGTAAGGTATGTCCAAGGTAGCGAGAAACCGTAACCAGAAAGAAAACATTCGCCATTCCATTTAAGCGCTATACAAACCGCAGCTTTTCGAAACTCATTAAGCCAAACCCATACTCGTACCCATACTATCACATATGTATACACCTATTACACGACAGCTAGCAAATCGAGCCGGGGCTCACAGTTCTTCTGACAGTAAATTGTCATGGCCGCCTCCGTACTTGTCTCTCCCCCAATTCGCCGGGTCGCCTCCAGGCATACACAGCCCGAGTCTCCAAAAATAGTCGCGGTGCGCAAAAAGCAGCTGCCAAAGCTTCAACCGAGCCGGGAAGCCCGGCAGCCTCTTGATCCACCTGTTGGCCTCTTCGACGAGTCCCTCTGGCGGCGCCAACGTCGACTTTGTAGCAACTTTGACAAAGTCCTTCACCCTGGCTCCGAAGAAGCTATCGTCTTCCTTGGTGATACAGCTCGCGTCGCTGTCGCCGCGACAAGCCACGACGTCCTCGAGAGACGGAGATAGCTCAGCCTTGGCAATGTAGAACTCGCCGGCGTGAGGCTTGTATCCCCACTCTGTAAGCGGAAGCAGCGGCACAGGGTCGTCGGCGTGAGTCACGCGACGGTAGGTCCGCTTCGAAACATTCTCGTCCTTTTCGTCCCTTAACCCAAAGACCTCGTCGACATAGTCTGCAAGGCCCTGATTGCCAACCTTGGGCTCACCAAAGGTCGTGACTTTGATATTGTCCCAGCCCAAGGAGACCTTGAGCTCAAGAGACGCGAGCATGGCGACAGCGCCACCGAGACTATGACCGACCAGGTGAATAGGATAGTCCGGGTATTGCTTCCTCAGCTTCTTCACTTCTGGGATGACCAGCCTCCGCGCCTGGCGCCAAGACGTCAGGAACCCCATATGGACAGTGCAGTCTTTACACTTGCGTTTGGGCTCCTTGGGTGCCTCGCCGCCGTCATCGGGAGATGGGTACGGCACATATTCCTGTGGAATGGTGCTCAAGTCGATAATCGTGTTGGAAATACTGTAGGTGCCACGAAAGGCGATAATGATGGCCTTCTCCCCGACCTTGCCATTGAATCTGTCCTCATCACCGGGCCTGCGAACGCCGTGGTCGACGGCAATGTAGCCGCAGCTGTCACTAAGCAGGACGCCCGTGTTCCAGGTCGAGACGAGTGTGAAGGATGGGAACTCCTTGCAGCGCGAGACACACGAGAAGGGCTGTGATATACCCGAGGTGCCGACACAGTAGGTGATGTCGACAATGCGCGACGTGCGCTCGAGGGATCGGAAAAGCTCGGCGGAGACGGGCAGCGAGGGTGCGGCGTGCTTGGTGTCGTTGCTCGATAGCAAGGGTTGCTGCTGCGGCTGCGGCTGCGCGGTGTCGAACGGTGTCGCTGAAGCTTGGCCAACCAGTGGCGCAAGCTGAAGGAGGCAGAGGAGAAGTCGCATCGGAGGGAGCATTCTGTTCTGGTCGGTTTCGCAATAACGTCTAAGTCCCTTTGGAATTGTAGGCTATGATTGATCGCGCAGGCTGAAAGACATTGCGAAGAAGAACCGTTTTGTTTACTCAATGCAGGGTAATCGTCCAGATGTAGCAGGAGACGCGAGCAGGATTATTAGAAGATACTGCGACGTTGGGATGAGGATTGTTGAGAGATTGGATTGTGATCGTGACGATTGCAACGATGTACCACGTTTAACGGCAGGGAAAGCCTCAAAGCCCGTCCCTTCAAGAGCGCATGATGACGATTGCACCCGTGCAGGCTCCTGCTAAATTAGGTATTTTGTTGAGATGGAGGTGAGTGGTGCGTGTGGTCAACGATGTATTCGTATGGGGTTAATTGTGAAGGGTGATGGAAAGAGGAGAAAGCATTGGACGGGGTACCGACGTCTCGCGGCTGATCTCGTGAGGGTGAGCGTGGTGAGGTCATTCCGCCATGCAGAGAACGAATTGAAGGCAGCGGCAGTGAAGAAGGTCCTAAGCACGGAGCCTTCCATGCAAAATGCGGAGAGGCGCGACCAAGCGACGCTTGCCGACAAACGGTTGGTCCTGGGTGGCCCTCTAGGTCCCCCTTCCCCTATGGCTGCCGGGGAAAGACCTGGGACTGGGTGGGTTGTCATGCCCCGCGAAAAGCTGTCAAGGGGGCGGGTCTTCTCACCCTCTTTGAAGTCCTGCTGACCATTTGGGGCCTGAATGTTGGGGAGAAGTGTGGATGACTTCAATTTCAATCATCTCATGCGAAAACTGGGCGGAAGCTTAGGTCTATTGATTGTTCTATTTGATAGTTCTCGTGCCTTCATTACGAATGATTTCCATTTTGCTTTTCCACTCATCAGGAAAGGTTCTGTTTCAGGCCTACATCTGTAACTGTAACCCAAGAACCTCTCAGCGTGCATTCACTCATGTCTGTTTCATCATCCACGAACAGTGCCGTTGTGTGTATTTTCTTGTTTGCTTTTTTACGTTCATCCCATGATAATCCTCCCCCGCCCTCTCAACCAACCGGCTGGATGCTGAAGAATCTCGATCGGATGTCGTCCGAGTTGGACTTGCATGCAACGGCGGCCCTCCTTGTACGCCTGTGCGACCTGGCGGCGTTGCCCGTCCCGTTCGCGGCACCTCCGTCGCATACCAACGGGACCGTAGCCGTCCCGGACGCCTCGTAGTCGGCGGCACTGCGCGAAATGTGTCAGCCATTTTTACGTGGATTCTCGTCACAGCTCTACGTGTGAATTAAATCAGTTGACCTACCCGTCGTCACCAGGGCAAACCTTCTCGATGACGGTCATCGTGCCATTCTGCCAGATGAACTGCACGCTAGCGTTGTCGCAAGCGTACCTCGGTGTCCGGCCGTCACCAGGCACCGGCACTGATGAGGCGTTGAGGTGGCATTGCGTGTTCAGGATGGTGCTGTCGTCGTTAAAGGTAAAGTCGAGCGAGTCCGCCGTCTTGCCATCCGCTGCCTCGGCGGCGAAGTTTTGAATCTGAAAGTCGTCGGGTAGGTTGCAGTCTTCTGATGACTCGACCATGGCCATAAGCGTGTCGGGGACAGCTGACATGTATGAGACCGCAGCTTGTGCCGCGGGGGCGGCGATGAGGAGGAGTGACAGCTTCATGACTTGACTGTTTTCTGATTTACGATGGTGATAGGTAAAGGTATGATCAAGGATTGTAGGTATACACTTTTAGATCAAGTGCGCCAAGGTAGGAGGATGAAGCGTGCGAAGAACCGAGGAGAAGGTGGAAAGATCCAAAAGATGGGATGATCAGAAGTCAAGGACTATGCTGATCTATTAGTCCTGCAGGCAGCTGCTTCTCAGATGGACCTTTGTGTACGGATACAAGGCCCGGTTTAAGCACAGGATCACAGACCTACATAGCAGATCTCCTATGCCGTTCCTTGCAGGAAAACGCTCTTCAGGGGTGACTACGATGACATGATGCATAGCTAAACTATCATAAAGGGCGAGAGCAAAACGCAGATCCTGATGTAATCGTCCGGCCGGCCCGCGTTTAACGGGATGGCTGAGGTCCAAGCAGGTGGTCTCCTAGCTCCATATTAGGGGAGAAAAAACATTCCCAGCCCGCCATTAAAGATGGACTTCTAGGTTGCTTTAGTGCAGGACTTACGATTGGCCATTTGTAGCATATACGAATGGTAGCAGTGATAGCGGTGCTGTGCGGAAGGTTAATGCTCGTTGGCTAGGAATTTTGGTCCTTATTCAGGGGAAACGTTGGATTTGATTGGCCACTGCATGTTTCATGTTTCCCAGCAGCGCATCCTGCGCTGGTCCACGCCTGGGCTGTTGATCACATCTGAGATGTCCCCTTTCTTGGAAGCGGACGCCATACGACGGCTAAGTTGGCACTTGGGTAAATGTAGATCTCTGCCCCACTACCCTTGGTTTTCCGAATGCTGTTGAGGCGGGTGGACGGCACTATTCTGTCAAGGGACGTACGAGAGGCTGTGTTCAGGGGGCTGGGGCTCCAGGGTCTCGAGTAAGGTACGGATATGGCTTCAGCGCATGAGGGACCTGGAATTGGAGGGACTAAGCTCATGGCCCCATGCTGCAAGGGAACAACAAGTGACGAAGCAAACGGGAAAGCTTGGACGGACGATCCTGATGCGCGGCTCTGCTGTCAGAGTGAACACTTTGGCTGGCTGGTTTGGCCGGGCCGTTTAAAGAAGGAAAGAAGAAACAACACTAGGTACTGGGCCTGTATTGCGTCTGTTTTCCTGGCTCATGTTGGCTGCGTTCAAGTACAGATACGAGATGTATTTCATGGGTGAGTCAAGTTACCTAGACACGGCCTAGGCATATACGCATAATAATCTCTGGTTTTAAACCCGTACGAATACACGGCGAGCTGGTCGTGTGGGAAAGTCGGCGAAGTGGATGTGAAGCAAAAATAAACTACCGCCAAACCATTGCTGATGCCTGTGTTCCTAAGGTGAGCACCGGTATCATCTGCCTGAGAAGTTGTCTCGTCCATTGCATAGACGTCGTTTCCCTCGAGATTGCCATTCATGTCTTTGCTTAAGGGAATGGTCCTGATTCATACTAATAGAAGCATGCGGAATTGAGGCATTGCAGTGGGAATACGGAGTAGGTCATCAGACATTTCCGGAATATGTAGACAGCCGTGACAGCGTAGGTAAGGTACCTTATTCGGGCATTTCGTTCTCCGGAAGTACGAGCCAATCAGAGCCTATCGGGTATAACGCAGCCAGCTCCTCCCAAAGACCCCACTGCCTGGGACTCCAGAAAGCCCCACTAATCCAACATCCTGCAGCCTCTGATAAACCCCAAAGCACGTGACCGCACAAACCCACCCGCCGAAATTCCCAATCCACCATTGCAACTTTTTTTTGCGGTCGCCGACTTTTTGGCTCTTCCCCCTCCCGACCATCACGACAATACTAACCCGACAACCCATCGTCATCCAGCATTCAAGATGGCCAAGGAAGCGCCCGTCAAGACCGGTCTCATCACCGGTCTCAACAAAGGACACGTATGTCGAACCATTACCACTACCGCAATCATCACCGCCGCCGTCCCGACCTGAAAGAAAAAGCCCCTCGACAATTCTGCGAAACGAAATCCTCGAACATCGATATGGAAATACGATTCGAAGATGGATACACACATGGAAGATGAACACACAGAAGAAGAATGGGCTTTTCTTATCAGGAAGGGAAATTGGCGGCATGCCCCCTTTTCCCCCCACACCCGCTTCGTCTCACCTCGTGGAGGATCTCTGCACAACGCCTCTCTTTCCACGAGGGGACCTTATTTGCAGAAGATGGACGCTGACCGGTCGTGATTGTTTCGGAAATATAGAAGACCACCGCTCGTGTCGTCAAGCCCCGTGTCTCCCGCACCAAGGGCCACCTGAGCAAGCGCACCGCTTTCGTCCGTGACGTCGTCAAGGAAGTCTCCGGGTAAGTTCCAATTCATACCATCGCGAAGTGTCGTACACTGCGTATCAACTTTGGATGCTAATCATGTTGTTCCTCGATAGCCTTGCCCCCTACGAGCGCCGCGTCATTGAGTTGCTCCGCAACTCCAAGGACAAGCGTGCCCGTAAGCTCGCCAAGAAGAGGCTCGGTACCTTCGGCCGCGCCAAGAGAAAGGTCGAGGAGATGACCCGCGTCATCGCCGAGTCCCGCCGTGTCGGTCACTAAGCGACTTCCAATCGAGAGAATTCGTCGACAAAAAACCAAAAATGGGGCGCAACGGGGTTGTTGTGTTGGACTGGCAAACTACTGGGTTTATATGGGTCAAGGGCGTGGTCACAGCATGAAAAAGTTTGTGGTCTATTTCTAAAACAAATCAACGGAACTCCCCCGTGTCATCATGGAACGATGATGCCTTCACGACAAATACCAAAATTTCAAGCACACTCCATTGCTGCCTCAGACTATTCACTTTGGCCTTGCTCGTATTTCACTTGTCTAGACGTGATGGTATACTTTCGTGAACTCTTTTGATTGCCGACTTGGCCATATTCTATCTGGTTTACCCTGTGCCCCATGAAACTCTAATTCATGAGTATGCTCGCCCTGTGAAAGTGGCCGAGTACTGCAACATTGTTCAAGAAATGCTCAGTCTATTTCTTTCCAGGCAACTTCAGCCACTTGGGAAGTTTCTTCGCAACGCTACCATCCCCACTGCCCTCCCTCTTCTCAGGTTTCGACGACGAAGCATCAGCCTGCCCCTCATTTGTGTCATCGCCTTTGGGAATGTCAGGGATTGTGACATCCTGGGCCTTTTGAGCGACGCTGCCCTTCAGGAAGGGCTTCTTGCGGATATCTACTGGCACGCTGTCGTCCCAGACCAAATTCAGTAACACACTACGTGTGAGCTTGTAGTCATGGATCAAACGGTTCTTTGCGCTTTCGTCATCCTTGATGATCACCTTGCTGCCAGATATGGCCAGCTTGAAGGGCTGGGTATTGTAGGCCATGACAGATCTCACGCCCTGGTAGAGGGTTGCACCAGTAGCTTCATGGCCGAATGTCCACTGCGCTGATGTGTTGTCCGGAAACCGCACCTTCATCGGAACTGTAGTAACAGCTGCAAGACGGGCTTCCTCCGCCTGTCTTTGCGCCTCCAGCTCCTTGTCTGAAGGGAGTCTCTTGTTTACTGCGCTCTGCTGGAGTCGAGCCTGATGAAGCTGAGCGTGGGCAATTGTCGGGGCATAGTCATCCTCTGGCACATCTGCAAGGGCTGCCGCTGGAGTCGTTCCGCTTGGAGCCCGGAAGATGCTGACAGGTTGCAAAGGGTCTGTCGGCTCTGCTTGATCAACATCCATAGCACCCGCTACCGGCGCCTCCTGGCTTGCTTCGTCTGGTGCTGGGATGTCACCTGTCTGCTTAGTAGTTGTGCCCTTTGGCGTCTCGGCTGCACTTTCCACTGCCGTTGACTCTGTTCCCTCGGTAGCGCGCGCCGGAGCTGGAGTTGGGGCCGCTTTCTTCTCCTCTGCCTCAACCTCGGAAAAGAACCGACTTATTTCCTCCATAGCTTGGAACAGCGTGCGATCCGTTTTCTTGAACGACAAGCGAATCAAAACGCTGCCGGAATTGTATCCCAGCTGTGACAGTGTCTTCTGAAAGTCCTCAAATGTGCAAAGCTCCCGGCCCATGATGTTCAGGACTGGCGTCTCATAGTACATCTGCCCGCTTCCGCTCACGCCTCCGCTTGTTGTTTGCGCGATTCCCCGCGCTGTAATGTTGAAATTCTTTCCATTCCCAGCGACGCCGCTCTCAAACTGACGCAGTACCTTCCATATCGTAAAGTCGCTGGGTAGCTTCTCGATTAAACGACCGTTAGGTGCCGAGTTGGCTTCGGGCATCGGCAGCTGGAGTGCGACGGAGACGGCCGACGGTGTTTTGGATTTCTGGACGAGCTCGAGTTTGGCGCCGGGGGTGAGGCCGCTCACTCGCCAGACCACGGAGAGGTCGACTGTCTTCTGTTTGTGCCTACCAAATGATTAGCCTAATGCGATGGAGAAAAGCCTGGACGATTAAGGTACTTCAAGAGGTATTTGTCGCTCGAGACGTTGAGCTTCTTGCATGCCTCTTGGAGAACATCTGTCATGTAGGTGCCTGGGCTGACCTTGACGGTAGCTCTCCGCAAATCCGTGCCGATGACCACCACGTGCGACATCGTAGCGAGTGAGAAATGCCGTGGGCGAAAATGCAGTTTCCCGGTCTTCCAATGAACAAGGAAATCAGTCGCAATGAAGTCGTTGTTTGGTCAGGATTGGTATCTGGTCTGAGATATCGTGTTCAATATGTTGTTGGCGGGGTTCGAGTCTCGGCGGGGCGGCGGCGTTGCGTCAAGCTCAGGTAGGTAGTGTATTAGTTAAGTAGAAGTTGGCGGAAGGACGACGAAACACAAATGACATAAAGCCCAGCTCGGCCAGGTGTCCAGTATAAGCGAATGTGTATACGTATTCTGAGCTTTACTGGTCGGCCGTACGTGACACTTGTTGCATAGGTAGTATCAGAAACAAGAAACTGTAGACGGCAAACAGTCGTTCTCTTAGTTGAGTCGTTCAACAGGTCCTACGAAAGTATAGGTAAGGGAGGTACGTAAGGCTAGGAGGCAGGCAGTCAGGGTGCTCCGTCAGCAGAGGCGACGGGAGCCGGGCCCTGGCCGGGGAGGGGAGGTGGGACGTGCATCATCAAGGACCACCACGCTGGAAGCTGCTCTAGCCAAGCTCAGGCCAATCAGCGAGCTCCAGCCTGCTGTAACGTGGATTTTCCGACCGCTTCGGCCGCGCCATGCGTGTTTGCCTTGCCCTGCAGTAGCACCCAAGCACTCAGCAAGAGCAGGCAGGTAGCGCTACACCTCAGCATTCCGCATCGGCTCAACTTCAATTGCAGCCACAACCACCTCCAAACGAAGCACTCCCCATCAACGACGACGACCCCACGACGCACCACCACGCGGCCAACCTTACGATCCATCACGAAGTAATCACGGCCGACGAAACGACCTTGAGGATCCTCCAAATCATCCGAGAACCCAGCGGTCACTCGCTTTAGGAGCCCGAAATGGTACGCTCGTCATTCCCCCTCACCTCCTCAGCCTCGAGGTGCAAAAGGAAACCCCCTCCAGCTAACCAAAAGTCCAGAGCTCTCCCTTCTCCATCAGTTCGTCTTCCTTTTAATCCCCTAGGTCCATTTGCCTCTATATCGGGGCCCAATTCCTAACTCTCTCCCCCTACAGATGGCGGTGCCTGCGTCGCAATGGTCGGCAAGGACTGCGTCGCAATAGCCTGCGATCTCCGCCTCGGCCTCCAAGCCCTCACCGTCTCCAACAACTTCCCCAAAATCTTCCAGTACGGCGACGTCTTCCTCGGCCTCACCGGCCTCGCCACCGACGTCACGACCGTCGGCGACCTCTTCCGCTACAAGGTCAACATGTACCGCCTCCGCGAGGAGCGCAACATCGCCCCGACCACCTTCGCCAACCTCGTCAGCTCCTCCCTCTACGAGCGCCGCTTCGGCCCCTACTTTGTCTCCCCCGTCGTCGCCGGCCTCGACCCCAAGACGGGAAAGCCCTTTATCTGCGGCTTCGACAGCATCGGCTGCATCGACTTCGCCAAGGACTTCATCGTCTCTGGTACGGCGTCTGAACAGCTCTTCGGCATGTGCGAGAGCTTATGGGAGCCGGATCTGGTACGTGGCACATGGAAAATATATCACCCAAGGAGGCTAGCAGAAACTAACGTAGAATGTCACGCAGGGTCCTGATGAGCTCTTCGAAACCATCTCCCAGTCGCTCCTGAACGCTGTTGACCGAGATGCACTATCCGGATGGGGAGCGCACGTGTACATTATTGAGAAGGACAAGGTCACGAAGAGACTGCTCAAGGGCAGACAAGACTAATTCTCGCGGAGGAATTCGGTGTTGGGGAAGAGAAAACTTGATAGAACCGCTACAAGTGGACGGTTTCTACCTAGCTTGTACCAATAGATGGACGTGATCCACTATGAGATGGCTACCGAAGCCTGCATGAACTAGACAAATGACCTTGATTTACGTCCTTATTCGCGTGACTTTTATGTCTGGACGTTGGCTGCTATGGTCTATGTACAGCTCTGTGCAATGTTGCCAGGGCTACTACTATGGTACAAGTGATCTATGGTCTAGCTTGCGCTGGCCTCTAACCATCTAATTCTCCTTCTTTGCCTTGGTAGACTTGATCGCCTTCGTCTGACTGAAGTATGATCTCTCAACAGCCTTGAGAACCTCATCAATGAGACTAAAAATCGGAGTCAGCAGCGGTACACGAGCGAGCAAGAATGGGGGGAGGGGGGGTATACTTACATAACAGGGGCGCTGATGTACAAGACCGCCTTCCACTCCAACCAGTTCAAGGGAAGGATGGAGAACAGGTTCTGGAGGAAAGGAGTGTAGAGAAGCGCGAAGTGAAGAGCCATCGAGAGGGTGATGGCGTAGACAAGCTTCATATTGGCCCAGAGAGGCAGCGACAGCAGAGACTCGCTCGAGGACAGCGCGTTCATGGCGTTGAACATCTCGATGACGACCAGAATGGAGAGCGACACAGTCGAGGCGGACTTGGCGGAGCTGTTGGCGAACATCTGGCATCCAATCTCGGGGAAGTCTGCAGAGCAGCGGTGGAAACGGGAGAGGTGGTAGAAGCTGATCTGAGGACCCTCGGGGTTGTACATGAACCACCAGGCATAGCCAGCAACAGTCGCAACACCGACGTAAGTGCCGATAACCAGGTAGCGGAAGAACAACCAACCGCCGATGAGGGGCTCGTCACGCTTTCTGGGCTGGCGCTTCATAATGTCGTGGTCAGGGGGGTTGAAAGAGAGCGCGGTGGCGGGAAGACCGTCGGTGACCAGGTTGACCCAGAGAAGCTGAACAGGAATCAAGGCCTCCGGCATACCGAGAGCAGCAGTGAGGAAGATAGAGACAACCTCACCAATGTTAGAGGAGATCAGGTAGCGGATGAACTGCTGGGTGTTGTTGTAAATGGAACGACCCTCCTCAATAGCAACCTCAATGGTAGCAAAGTTGTCATCAGCGAGAACCATATCGGCGGCGAGCTTGGAGACATCAGTACCAGAGCCCATGGCGACACCGATATCAGCCTTCTTGAGAGCAGGAGCATCGTTGACACCGTCACCAGTCATGGCGACGACCTCACCCTGTTGCTGGAGAAGGTCGACAAGCTTGGACTTGTGGCTGGGCTCGACACGGGAGAAGAGAGATGCGTTCCTGGCGGCTTCGTTTGCCTCGCTTTCGCTCAGGTTCTCAAACTCCCTGCCAGTGAAACTCTTGCCCTTGAGGTCCTCATACTCGCCAAAGACACCAATCTGTCGGCAAATGCTCTCTGCGGTGTTGCGGTTGTCTCCAGTGATGACGATGACACGAATTCCAGCGTTCTTACAGTGGCGGATAGAAGCCGCAACTTCCGGGCGAGGAGGATCAAGCATACCAACCAATCCAAGGAAAGTCATGTTCTGCTCGATTTGGGCGTACTGTGCGGTAGACTTGGCAGACTTCAAGGCGGGGTTCTCACCAATGTTGTCGACGCTGGCAAGGGCAATAACGCGAAGACCACGGTTACCGTAGTCAACAACTTCCTTGGCGATCAAATCGGCGAGCTTGCTGTTCAAAGGCTGGCGCTTTCCGTTGGCTCCAACAAGGGTGTGAGTGCAGCGTTCAAGGACAGACTCAGGGGCACCCTTGACCAAAAGCTTCTTCTCTTGGCCGTTCTGAACAAGGACGGACATGCTCTTGCGATCTCTAGAGAATTCGTAGGTAGACAGACGGGGGAGTTGGCTCTCATACTGAGAGCTAGCATAGTGGAGACAGTCCTCGGGGTTGCTGTTGGAAGGCGCACACGGTCCAAGCTTCTCAACAAGAACTCTCAGAGCGCCCTCAGTTGGCTCGCCGACGTTGGAGAAGTTACCCTTAGCCGCATCATAGGCGAGCTTGGAATCGTTGCAGACGGCAGCGACCTCAGTCATCTGGCGGACAGTGGCAGAAGAGCGCGTCAAATCGGTGACCGTCTGGCCTCGGAGAGAGATAGAGCCCTTGGGAGCAAATGTGGTGCCTTCAACATCGTGCTCAACAAGGTCTGATCCGTTCTCGCTGATGTAGACAAGCTTGCTCACACTCATCTGGTTGGTGGTGAGGGTACCAGTCTTGTCGGAACAGATGACGCTGCAGCTTCCTAGGGTCTCGACGGACGGCAAGCTTCTGACCACGGCGTTCTTTGCGGCCATTTTGCGGGTTCCGAGAGCCAAGCAGGTAGTGATGACAACGGCGAGACCTTCGGGGATAGCGGCAACGCCGAGAGAGACGGCGATCTTCAAGTAGTAGATGGCACCCTTGGTGAAGGATCCGTGGCTGGGGTCGCTGAAGTGAGGGATGTTGATGAGCCAGACAAGGATGCAAATGACCGTGATGACCTTTGCGAGACTGTCGCCGAAGTCGTTGAGCTTCTGCTTGAGAGGAGTGGGTTCCGAGATCTGAGCGGTGATGCTCTCGTGGATGTCGCCAATAGCAGTTTGAGATCCAGTCAAGACAACAACAGCCTTTGCGCGACCAGTAACAACAGTGGTTCCGGAGAACAGCATGTTGGTCTGATCTTGCAACACGGCCCTCTCATCCTTGACAACATGGTCGCAGTCTTTGCCAACACTCTCGCTCTCTCCAGTCAAGATAGCCTGATCGACATTGAAGCTGTTGCTCTCGATGGCGACAATGCGGCAGTCGGCAGGAATGCGATCACCAATGTGAACGGAGACGATATCACCGGGGACGAGTTCCTCAGCCTTGACACGGGAGACTTGGCCATTACGGATGACGTTGGCGGAGTTGGCAGAGTACTCCTGCAGGGCGGCGATGGCTTTCTCGGCGCTGCTCTCTTGTGAGACACCGACGACGGCGTTGAGGATGAGAATGGTCAGAATCTGGAAGTCGGCATTGTTAGCCGGGCAAAGTCTGGGCATTGTGGGTATTCGCATCCAAGATTACGTACCACTGCTGGGTCGACGAAGGCGCTCCAACCTTCCTCGTTGTCGAAGAGGGCCAGAACGAAAGAGACAGCGGCAGAGCCGAGGAGGATTATGACGAGTTGGTCCTTGAATTGCTCGAGAATGAGTTCCCAGATGGGC